TCTAAGGATCTGGCATGATGCAGGCAACATATCATGTAAACGATCTTTACGCTGGGATGTCCTAGAAACGGTGTTAGAAGTTAAGACCTTAGCACTAAGATCGTTTTGGTAACCCCTAGCCAGGACTCTGGTTCAAAAGGGTCCTTGAGTGTTCAAAGGATCTTGCATGATCCAGGACTTTTTGCTGATAAAGAGGGGCCTTGAGTGAACCAGGAGTTTGGTTGGTAAATAAAGAACCTTGAATGATCCAGTCTCCTTTAGTTCTCAAGTCTTCAGCAGTCATTTATCATTAGTAACTTTTCTTATTTTCAGATGAAACATGCCTAGATGTCGCCCAGGCTGGAGCCACAAAAACAGTGGTATCAATATTACATGATACAATAGAAAATCTGTCTGTACAAGAGTGTAGTTTATGGGCGTTGGCCTGTCTAACTTCTATAGGTGAGTCTAATTTTACCTTCAGTTGAGACTCGTGGAAGCAATGGCTTCACAATTTTGTGTACCTTCAGCAGGATTTGAAGCTATAGTGCCTAATCACCTAACAAACTACATTCTCAGGGTTAGAGTACATTCAAAACAAGAACAGTTGTTTAAAGACGTATGCTTAGGGCAAGGACTTATATATATTGTATATAATACTAGTTAGAAACTCTGAGTTTTTATTTTACAGCCGAGACCTGTGAAGAGGTGATTAATATGGATGCAGATGAAGCTGTTTTAGATTCCTTACAAAGATATCCATTAGAGGAAAACATACAGGAATATGGTGTAAGAATTATATCAAACCTAGCTTCAATAGGTAAGAATATACACAATCTAAATTTCACTAAATCTAGACTCATCTAAAAAGAATAGACCCTATCCCTTGGACCCTCCCCACCACACTGACAACTTTTAGACCAAACCCTACCCTTGAACAATCCCATCCCACCCCATCTCTTGTGTAATGTCCAACCAGCCTGACAACTATTGGACCAAACCCTACCCATGCAATAAAATAAACCAATAGTCTTCCGTTCCTCCCTCCCTCCCTCCCCCACCCTGTCCTGTCCTGTCCTATATATGGTCTAACCAGTCTCTCTATCTGTGTATATTTTAGAGTCAACCAGCAGTGAGATTAACAGTAGAAGAGTTTTAGATATTTTAATGAAGATGTTAACTAACTACTCTAACAGTCTGTGTATCTTGGAACATACCTTTGTTACCATTGGACAAACTGTACTCACTTTTGGTAAGTATCTTTTTGATTTCATTAACCCTAAGGAAGCTGATAAAGACTCATTAACAGATCCCAAAAATAAATGCAAAACAAAACCCTAAATCCAAACAACATAGTGGCAAAACATTGGTAACAGCTAATGAACTTTTCACATGAGGAAGTATATCAATTATAAGTGAGTAAGTATTTCATAATGAAAAGTGGTATCAGGTGTCTAAAAGAGTAAGAATACCCTGCCTGGTGCCACACCCGACAGTAGGCCTATATCAATCATAAGAGAGTAAGTATTTCATAATGAAAAGTGATATCAGGTGTCTAAAAGAGTAAGAATACCCTACCTGGCACCACAATAAAAGACAATAACAAGTTAACAACCCTATAATATATTTTTAGAGGACCAGAAGTATTTATTAGAATCAGGTGGAATCACACAAATCATCAACACCATGGAGAAATTCAATGAACACTCTACTATTCTAGAACATGGCTGTCGCATTATTGGCAACATGGCTGTTTTCGGTGAGTTACAAACATCAATTTTTTTAACAATTAAAAGTAAACTTCCAACATATTTCTAACAAAATCATGATCAGTTTAAAAGCTGACAAAAGTTGACAGAAGCAGTCATCAATCCCTGCAATCTCTTAGCATTTTACTTACTGAAAGCATTTCCTGTGAGCCCCCTTGATGATTTCTTGATCCCTACTAGGCCTTTCCCCCTTTCTAAATCCAGCTGGCAAAGAACAAGCTTCATTTTGTAGGTGTTGAAAACTTTGTCCCTTCTGGAAGGAAAAAATCTACTAATTTGACAATTTATATAGTAAAGTTACAAAGTTACAAGTTTAATTTGTAATTGAATGTTTATAGAGAAATTAAGAAGCAAGGTAGAATGTTACGGAGCCTCTAAAGCAGTGATCAATGCGATGTTGTTATTAGATCAGGTATCAGAGATACAGCTATGTGGGTGTATGGCCCTGATGAACCTCACTGCTAACGGTAAGACTCTTACTAATATATAGTAAGGGTTAAGGTTAGTGATCAATTCAATGATATGATGAACCTCACTGTTAACGGTAAGCTAGATGCATCAGAGATGATGATACTTCCATGATGAAGTTGGTCTTAAAGATCCTGTCTACCTACCAAACCTCTCTTAGTAATTATTTTACAAGGATAACAACTTAGTTTCTGTCTACCGGCTGGTCCTTGACCCAACCTGTTGTCATTGATCTTTCCTAGGTTATCTGTACCTACCCTTATTACAAAAGACCATTATAAAAAATTAATGACACAGGTTTTTTTATCAACTAAAATTTCCCATTATTCCTTTTAAATTTCAGTCCGAACCAACAAATTAAACCTACTGAAACATGGTGGAGTTTCAGCCATTTTGTCGTGTCTGAATAATTTCTCTACAGACTCTGAAATATTACTGACAGCTCTGAAAACTCTGACAAACATCATTAGTCTTGGTAGGGCTATTAATCTTAACTTAAACAGATGTAAAGATAATAAAAATCTGCACAAGCAAGACAATTTCATTAATCAAAATCTTGTCAAAACTATGACAAAATCGAGAGTAAAAGTTCTTTACTTGTAGACTCCTTCAAAGAGAAGTACCATCAGGTGTTTGGAGTTTTCTAAACTTGTAATGTGTATGTGTATTTCAATAATCAGTCAGAAATCTGTGGTTCTTGTAATTCCACTGAAGTCAAGAGCTATATGACATAGCTAATGCCAAGCCCTTCCCCTCTCCATACATGTATTTTGTTTATTTTTCTCTAGAAAATGCCTGTCAAAGTGTTGTTGAAAAAAATGGTGTTCACCTACTCCTGTCACTTGCCAACACAACTAACTTTGAACCAGAAATATATAGTTATATAGCTACAGTTCTTAGTGGTCTCACTAGTTTAAAAGGTAAGAACATTTCTACTTTACTTCTGTTATTAGGAAATTCTTTTAACACAAAAAAAATAAGGGAATATATTACTATATAACTCACCTCTTTAATAACAAATGTTTTAACACAATTTACACGGGTTATCATCAGATAAAATAAAGAGGGTAGTAAAACTCAGAAGGTCATTTTGACTTACAGAGTGTCATGAAGTACCTCTAAAATTAAACCCTGATTTAATTATATTTCAGAACTAGAGTTTGATATACTAGAGAATATAGACACAGCTCTGATAAAAATATTAAACCAGTACCCAGACAGCGCTGATATCACTCTAGCGTTTTGTCAGACCATGGAAAATATTCTAGCCTCAGGTAAAGTAGCCTATATTTCTATCTATAGACTGACACAATATATCGTCTTGTCTATTTTTAGTTAAAAGTTGTTGTGTATTCATACGCTGCATTAACGTTGTCATAGGAGATGACGTCATTACGACGTCAGTACGTCATCAGAGATCACTATGGAAATTTGTAATTCATCAATAAATGAATGTAATTTTTTCACAACGGTTCACTATAGAACATTACAATAAAATGTTAATATTATGACCTGTTGGATATTACCTAGCACTAACTAGATCTCTGATTATCTATATTGAATATTTTATAGAATTGGGAAGAAAGATGTTTATATATGAAGATAGACTCTCATTAATATTAAAATATACAACACAATTTATATACCATAGTCACATACAACAAATAGGCTGTAAAATATTAGCTATTATAGCCATGGGTAAGAACTCTGATCAATTTACCTAGTTTCCCCCATTCACTACTGCATATAGGATGTAAGATATTAGCTATCATAGCCATGGAAAAAATATACCAATCCAAAAAAGTAGGAAACCAATTTCGAAAACAGCAAATGATGTGTAAAATTCTCTGTATTATAAAGCTCTACTCCCTTAATTTTCTCTGATTGACCTTAATCATCAACAGACACCCCCTCCCCCTTCTTTCCACGCCCACCCCACCTCCTCTTTCTGACTAGCTATTTATAATTTCACACAAGGATAACTACCATGTAATAAGACCAGACTGTATTAAATGTCTACTGTCTGTCAGTATTATACATCACGATAATCTAGAACTACAGATTCTAACCTGCGGCGCCATATCTTGTATCCTGGAATCAAACAGTATGTATACCTCAACTCTTAATTCCATTCCTACTTTCATGATGGTGCTTATAATTGTCAATTCAAAGATAAATACATTCTAACCATGGAAGGGTTGCAAATTAGCTGAACTCAATAAGCAAAAAGGTTTTCAGTTTTTTGAAAGCAACCCCCCTCCCCCACTTTGCATTTCGTATTCTCAATTTTTTTTATCGATTCCAGGTGATATGGGTAGGATAGTTGAAGAAGAGAATGGAATCAACCAAATAATGAAAAGTTTAAACCAACACCAGACTGATTCCAGATTACATGTTCTAGCCTTGATGATACTGGCTAATCTATCTTTCTCAGGTATACAGGGGAGGGGCATAGAGTTTTAGGGGGAGGAGGGAGAGGAGGAGGCAGAGGTGATTTTGAATTGCAAGAAAAAAAGTTAAACATTTATGGTTTCTGTATCCAGAATGTTTGTTAGATGCATTAAAATGTATTCAAACTGACTCAAGGGGAGTTTGTTAAACATGGTCTAAGGGAGAAAACTCTATTTTAGAAAAATGACTTTTACTACGGACTACAGTTAATTTCGCATTTTTTACAGCTTATAAGAACTCTGATGAAGTGAGTTATTACCACTCTGTAAATGAATCCTATGTATTATAAATATTCAAATACACATTATAAGCTATGTGGACTCTCTAGAGGAAAATAAAGAAATGAGAGAGGGAAGGGATGAGAGAGAAGAGGGAAAGGGAGAGAAGAAGTTAGTCTGAATAACTAGAAAAATACTTTAAATTTTATCATTAAGAGTGCAAGATACAAGAACTATTTTATAATATTTTCAAATCAGTGAGAAGACATCTCAATCATTCAACTAAATTGAAATTTTCAGCAAAAAAGGAAGACAGCCAAGTTATTTTCGAAATAGTTCTCAAAACAATGACACAGTTTACAGAGAATGTAGAGATACAGAGCTATGCCTGTCATGTTCTCTGGCGTCTGCCATTTTCTTACAGTAAGTAATTCAACAAGATCACACCAATAACTAACATAAAAATGTCCATGTCCAAAATCAATGAGGTAGACATGAAATAAGTCTTATAATCATCATGGATCATCAGCAACCTTCACGATAGTAACGGAATTGCAAGAACTACAGACGTCTTATTAAGAATTTTAATGGTGCAAATTGATTTTATCAGTATCCCTGATACATTAACAAAATATAGGAAAACCTCTTTACAAGCCTTTTAAAGCTTTCAGTGGTAGGACATTCACTTTAAAATGTTACAAAAATTTTTCAGATACTGACCAACTGAGTCGAGTTTTAAATTCAATCAGGAACACTTTAAAAAGACACTCTCATGAGGCGGAGGTTGTAAAAACAGCTGGTAAAGTTTTACACAAGATATCACAAGGTGAGCTAGTAGTTTTAGGTTGTAACATTGCGGTTAAGTTATGCAATGAAAACACAGACACAGATATGTGGGCACAACCTCTCATAGGCCTATTGTGTTGTCCAAGAATGACAGGCCAGTGTCTGTTTGATCAAGTTTTGGTTGTACATTGAGTGTCATTCAATCTAAAACTTGACGGCACTTTTAACAGTAACAGTAATATGTGTATCCATTGGGAAAGGCGCTAAACTCTTTTTCCCTCCCAAGAATACAATGAAGTAAATGCCTCTAGGGGATTCTCTATCTAAACTACTCTAATGATCATCAAATTTGATAAAAACAAAATAAAACAGGCATCATAGTGTGTCTATGTGAGGTCTTGAATCTGACATTACAGCTTTATTTGATAAATTTTTTCCTATTTTCAGATGGCCACCAAGCAGAAGTGGACAATGTTTTAAAATCTCCATCATTACCTCAACTACCAGAGTTTTTTTGGCAATCTGTGAAGAGTGTTTCATGATAATAAAAGGACTGTAAGACCAAGACCATAGTGGCTTGGTCCAGGCACGTTGCCCTAGAAGAATTTATCATATTTTTAAGCGTTTTGGATGAATATTCGATAGCCTATGATTGTCTCAGAGGCAGAGTCTTACTAAATCTTGTAAAAATTTGTTATATTATGGTGTATATACATTATAGAAATATTTATAAATTAAATTATTATTTTAGATTACTACTAAATAGGCTACCAGTACATTATGACATGATTACAAATACCAGATTGTTAGTTTTTGAAGGTTTTTATGTAGCCTAAGCTTATATCATGATTTTTCTATATTATTTTGATTTTATATTGCCGAACTAATGGCACAAGTAGGCCTACATTGTGATATGGTATCAGTACCAGAGTACTAGTTTTTTTAAGGCTTTAGCTCTGTATATATTAAACATAACAGTGATTCGACCACATCTTTCAAGTTTAGATTACCATACTTATTATGGCACTAGTAGGCCTACATTACAATATGGTAATAAAGTGCTTAGTTTTTCTAAGGCTTTAGCTCTGTACATATATTCTAATAAACATAACAGTGCTTCGATTACAACTTTCAAGTTTAGATAGAATATGGTTTAGACAGGTTTCATTGTAAGTTAATGTAAAATAAATTATTGCTTACTTTCATCTGACTTGTGATCTTTATTTCTGGGGTTTCTTCAAATCATCTTCTGATGTTAGAGCCTGGTTAGGGCCTAGGAGTGTTGTGTAACACCACCCCGAACTCATCAAACCCTGGTGTTGGTGCGGCCTGAAAAAAAAGAGCTTATAGAAATGAAACGTGTTTTAGATCTTACTGTCTGCAACTGATTAGGGCAACGCCAGGCAGTGTGCAATGAGGGAAATTCAGACAAGACAGCAGCATAGGCCTATTCTCTTTCGATTTTGAGAGAGTAGATGGTGGAATTTGGAACTGTGTAACTGTAAGAGAGGGAGTGGTCTAGAGAGATGGGTGTGAGGCTAGGACTAGGAGAGCATTCACAGAGCAATAATAAGAACTAGGCCCATTAGCTTTAGCTTGAGCCTAATGGTTGTAGAGGCAATCCATTCACAAAAGAATAGAAAATGCGAGTTGATCCTCACGATCAAAGAACATACGCCCTCCCTACGTGTCGAAATTCTTATTTCTTTGGATCGCCTGTCGATTGACAATGACAGACTGTTGCATTTTGACATTCGTCGCTTCAACCAGCGATCGGCTCATTTCCCCACCTTGACATTTCTAATTCTAGCTATATTTAGAGTCAGAGATGCTTAAAGAAGGCTTTGACGATCTAAAACATGCTTTCATCCCCTAGATTTGGCGATTCTTACCATAAAATCAATCGGTGATCAATCGTCTTGTTTCTACCATTTTTCATAGTGCGTCTGCAAATTTAAGTGCCAAACACGGTCTAAGGGAGAAAACTCTATTTAAGAAAAATGACTTTTACTACGGACCACGTTTAATTTCGCTTTTTTAGCAGTGCTTAGAACTTTGATTAAGTGAGCTATTATCTCTCTGTGGGTGAATCCTATATATTGTAAATGTTCAAATACACATTATCAACTATGTGGACTCTCAAAAGGCATTACCAATGGTTGACAAGTCTTAGTGGGTCCAATCTAAACATGTCTAACAAGCTAGTCAGCTTTCTGTGAGGGAAGATTCTTAAGAGTCCATTTGAAATGAAATGAATGGTGTTGTACGTCCTAATTTTCCGCCAACACCATGCAGTGTGCAATGAGGGTAATATTTCCAGCAGCATTAGCCTCAAGAGTCAATCTCATGAAGGCCAAGGGTCTTTCATAACAATTAAAATCTTACAATCCAAGTAAGAACATTTTAATGGTCTTAAAAATAATAACATGATGAAAAATACACAATAAGCATAATATAATGTCTTCATTTTTACTACATCTCATTTCTATTTCCCCCATCCCCTTCCCCCTTTTTTGATAACTGAATGCACCCACAGGAGACTAATTAGGTTTAATATGCTGGCTGTAACAAGAGCCTTTTGACCATGTAAAATAAATGCCAGAGTAACATTCTTAACTATGTGAACGCTCAAAAGCAGAGATGATATCAATGGTCAGAAACCAGAGCCTTATATCGTTGAAAAATAAATGCGAAATTAACAATTTTAGCTATGTGAACTCTCCAAAAAACTCTCAGTAAATAAGCATTTTAAATTCCAGAACAAGTACTACGACCATTTCGTTGTATGCTTTTCATATTTCTAGTTTTTCGTTCCCACAATGTAAATCAATCAAACATTCCCCACTATCAACAACAGTATGATTTTAATCATTTTTAATTTTTATAAGAAATAAAATAAAGTGAAAGATGAAACAATATTATATTTTAATTCTAAACTGTTTTTCTGAAATAGAAAAAAATACAAATTTATTTTATTTATTGACTAAGCACTCTCATCTCATGCTGCTGACACATGTTTCAGATACACAATCCTCATCAGGACAGCTAGTTTAGGAAATGGGCTTTAATCATATAACCACTGAATAAGTCAAGAGAAAATAATGATATATAAAGATTAATTCTATAAAGTTATAAGAGTTGTAAGAAACCATCCAACCCATATACCGATAAATAATTTGTGATTAATGAAAAGCTAGATTGTATTTAATAATTACCTTTTTGATGCTAAGCCACTAAGAAGTCTATTACCGAACAGGAATGTAGGTACGGCCAGTATTCCCAGCCAACGTAATGTTTGAAACATATTTAACTGTGTCCAGTAACAATAATATAAACCAAATATAGCTGAAATCAAATAACATATATACTTTATTACAATACTAGGATTTTAAACGTTTTCAACGATTTCTGACAGCAATTCTGTTGTATAGTTATGGCGCCAGGTATATCCATGATGAATATATACTCGAATTAACCAAGATCAAAAATTAAGATTATGTTCATGCAATCTACATACAACTGAGCTATCTCAGTCCTAATGAAGTTGGACAAGTAGAGCTTGCTTATTAATATAAATATCAGATAATAAAATCCAATGTTTTAAAATATATATACAGTATATTTACCTGCCAAGCAAACATGGAAGCCAATAGCACTCAATGATACAGGGAAGTTTGATATATTTACACCTAGTTTAATCCACTGAAATAAATCAATATCAAAATAAGATTAAATAGTAAATATACTAGTTTAAAAACAAAGTAATAATTCAACCTAATGGTGAAAACATTTTGAAAATCAGGTCATGTTTTAAAAAGTTTTAAACAAAGGTTACTCTGTTCTATAATTTTTGGACATTGTGGTTGAATACCTAGTTATTTTGTTGTGTCTTCTGCTAGCTCAATCAGTTGAATTTGAAACTTGTTTATGTTAAAGCTAAAACAGATGATGTGACTCACCAGAATAAATAGAATAAGAACTGGAAGTAGAACTAAACCACTGAAGGCAAGGGAAACAACTGCTGGTGGACGTTTTTCAGGTTTATTAAATTGATGCTGAAACATAAAATTAAAACAAATTACAATCAAATTAAGTGTAGCAATCTACTAGCTAGTTGAACACGATAATTTAGATCAATGGTGGCTCACTGCTATCGTGTTGCAATCTATTAGCTAGTTGAACACGATAATTTAGATCAATGGTGGCTCACTGTTATCATGTTACAATCTACTAGCTAGTTGAACACGGTAGTTTATATCAATGGTGGCTCACTGCTATCATGTTACAATCTACTAGCTAGTTGAACACGGTAGTTTATATCAATGGTGGCTCACTGCTATCATGTTACAATCTACTAGCTAGTTGAACACGGTAGTTTATATCAATGGTGGCTCACTGCTATCATGTTACAATCTACTAGCTAGTTGAACACGATAATTTATATCAATGGTGGCTCACTGCTATCATGTTACAATCTACTAGCTAGTTGAACACGGTAGTTTATATCAATGGAGGCTCACTGTTATCATGTCACAATCTGCTAGCTTGTTGGGTACAATAGTTTCTCATAGGCTAATACCAAGCAGGTTTTTAAAGACAACTAACCTGAATTTCAGGTTTTTTACTGTATTGGTTGGTTGAAGGTTTAGTTTTAGCTTGACCTTCTTGAAACGTTAATTTAACATCTGCCTGTAATATACAAATAGACAAACTTAAAATATGTCATTACTTAATATTTCAGGCAGTACGATCTTTAGACATCTGATCTATAAACTAGTCCTGGGCCAGTGCCTTTTGTTGATTAGTAAATTGTTACCTTTTAACCACCCTAATCACTAAAGGAAATGATCTATACTTCCAATCATATTTGGATAAAAAAGAAAGCCTAGCAAGAAATTTCTCGGGAAAACTAAAGCAGAAGAAGAAATCAACTGACCATACTTCCAATAATATTTAGTACAATCTTTTGGAAGCATTTCTGATAAAAACAAGTCAAACAGCAATGGAATTATCAGTACTTACCATGGTCCAAGAGATAGGATTCTCAATAACAGGATCTCCAATGATTAATTCCATACCATACTGTCCTGACTGGAAACCAAAATCTTTTCCTCGAGCTCCCACATCCTGTAATTATAAACAAATAATCCTCAACTTTTATTCAGAGTTTATATTTATATCTTACTGCTTCTTATAAAGATTAATAAATTGACAATACCATGTCTATATTCACTGGAAACATGTTTAAAATACAATACAAGAATCAACATCTATTTTTAACAAGGTTAATAACTTGGGTTCACAGTCAAGGATCCTTTCTATCTTAGCCAAACTTCTTGGCATTAATCTTACAAGATTATCTGCAGGAATAATGACACCTATTCCTCCATCAAGCCGAGAACAAGACAGCAAGCCACAGCTTGAATTAGGATTGAAAGATGAGTTCAATAACTTACCAGTTCAAATTTGTTAAGATTAGAAGAATCACTTTCAGCCACAAATATAATTTCTTGTTTAGTCTTCTGATTGGTGAAACGTACAAATGTCTGAAAAAATCACAGTACAGTACAATATGATTTAGACATGAAATAAATGGAGTTTTACGTCCTACTTTTCTGCACACTATAATATAATTCAGAGCTGGTCAATATGAATAACACATTAAATACAGAATAGAATTTGATATAAGAATAAAACATGGACTAATTTCTGTGTGAAGAATTTGTGTGTGTATAAAAGTAAGATTAAAACATGTCAGATGTGAAGGTGATATATACCTGATGAGCTGACAGAGACTGTGATGTAGTTTTATCTAATAATTTAAATTTCATCACTATCTTCTGGTGGAAATCAGCTTCCAGTACGTTGGCTGATCGTTTGGGATACTGAAGACTGAAATAAAGAAAAAATGATTATTATTTGGATGAAAAAAAAAAAGAACTATTAGGTAACTGTGACATCCCATTTTCTCCATTATTCCAGGATCAATGCCAAGAGGTTTGGCCAAGAATTTGGCTGATACACAAAATTCTTCTAAACCGAAGTAGATATCCTTTGTATGACCAAGGAATCAGCTAGTAGAATCCTTTGTAGATATCTTTCTGAAATCATTACTAAGAGGTTTGGCAAAAGACAAGCTGGTAGAAAGGATCCTCGTGAACCTAAGTTGTGGAACCATTGTCAAAGAACAAGCCGGCAGACAAGATCCTTGAGAGAGACTTGATGGTAAGATTTTTTAAAAAACGTGGGTATTGACTTACTTGGTAGATCTAGGAACACTGGTTTGATCTTTATCAGCAACACCAATCTCTACTCCTTCTAAACTTACAGTAGTTGTTACTTTTATTTTTACCTGGAAAACATAAAAATATACATACAACACACAAAACTCTGAAAGAAGATCCATATGGTGTTTGGATTTTGGATTTTGGGTTTCGCTTGCAGTTCAGATCGTTAGTACTTGGTGAAAAGAAGTGGTGTTTTAACTCCTTCATATCTGCACCTGATTGGACTAATGAAACTGTTTTTAATCTTAGCAATAAGTAATAGCACTGTATGTTAAAGATAATTTGTCAGCACAGAAGACTAGTAATACTCACAATGGCTCCAGTGGTACCAAGAAGTCGTTTATCAGTTTTACTAGGTGTAGCTGATATACTGATCTCGTAAAAACCTTTCGCTGGTTTTGAATCTAACATATTTAATTCAAACAGTGATCTAAACAATATCAAATACAATCAGATAAGTACAAAAAACCTACAGTGTAAAATGAGGATATTAGGTTAAAATTGAAAAGAAAAATCTGAAAACAATACAATGTCCATCATCATCCATCCTACCCTAGATTTAGTTTCTGTTTATAGAATGTGTCACCCTGAAAGAAAAGATTTGGAATGGTACTCACTTGTCTTTGGAATTTTCAGTAAAAGGTTTCTTGTTGAGTACCACAGAACCCTCACCAATATTCTTGGCGTTATCAGCCACGACCTTCAGACTGCCGAGAGAACCTCCCATTAAATTGGTGACCCGCACCTGAACAACTGGCTGAGATTTACTCACGGCTACAGGACTAGCTAGAGTTACAGCTAGCGGTACATGAAACTAAAAATAAAACAGAGTCAGACACGTCAAATATCTCATCTAGCTATTTTAAAATCTAGAAGGATTGCCTAGGGCCTAGGTCTGGGCTAATTGTACATGAAAGTACAGTATATCTGAGAATTTAGACTGAAAGAAACGTCTTCAAACCAATAAAATCAATGAGGTAGATATGAAATGAGTTCAATAGCCATGCTGGATCATTCAAGTCAATAAAATCAATGAGGTAGAGTTCAATAGCTATCCTGATAGTTTGCAATATATTGATTGAAGTAAAAGTTATAACTGTGTATAGTTAAATACCATGATAAAGATGAAATATCAATAAAGATGAATAAATGATTCTACCTTGTTATCTGCCAGAGTTTTAATAGCCGATAAGAAATAAGCCGCAGCTCGAAGTTGATGGATATGTTTACGTGTTAGAAAATAATTAGAAAACTTGATAACTTTATCCTGGAAAAATTAAAATATAAATCTAACAGCAAGTAGGATTAAAAATATATCCTAAACTATAGATATTTTAAAGTGGGTACCGTCAAAACATAAATACAACCAAAAAATGACATTTATATTGATTTATTACATACAGCTGTTTAACATGTGACATGACTGAATAACGCTTTCTACTTTACATCTCATGAATATTCATTTTACTCACAAATACTCATAAATATTCATAACACACGTGAATATTCATATCTTAACAGAGTTTACTTTATTTTATCAAGTCAGGCTTAATTATATTGTAATAATAGCTATAGTCTTCTATTGTTTTAATCAGCTCTATATATCTCAACAGTTCACAAGAAACAGAGTTTTACACCCTACTAATCTGTAGGATGTTATAATAAAACAAGTGTGTACTTACAGCTGAGATTGTAGGAGCTTTGTTTAATTTGGTACCAAGTTTATAAGCAGAATCTATTATAAATGATGTCACGTATAATCCACCTTCAAACTGAAATTAGAATAGAGACGGGGGTATATTATCATTCATTATAAATATCACTCCTTGTCTAGTAGCACATTGTACAACATTTAACTTGACACTGACATGGGCGATAAACTGTAACCCTGAGTCTATCAGGCTGTTCACAGAGCTGTACTCTCTTACCCCATTGGCCACTGCAAAGATTCAATACAATACTCAAAAGTTTTAGAAAAAATCTGCTTTCTCCAATGATTGCTAATAAGATCCCTCAACTGTTAACAATAGAAAAGTAGACAGATACGGCTATACTACTAGTGAAATAGCTCAGTTGGTTACCACTCAATTCTGATAGCCTTTTAGTATTATTCTTGTAATCAAACTGAACGTAACTTACCTGTAAATATTTATCATCTACTTCATCAGCCTGGGCTATAACATCTTCAATATGATCAAAAAACTTAGACCCAGATAATTCAGCTGCTATTTGGAAGGAATAACCATAACTAAAAATAAAAAAATATTAATTTATATATATATACAAAGTCTGTTTAGAAATATTAAAACAGAACCTGAAACATGTTACTCAGAGTTTCACGCTATGCGATCTTAAGTAACCTGACCTATTTTCAGATAAAAACGCTGGTTAGCAGGCTAAAGAATGTATTAATAGAGCAACTGTTTCTTCAAAAACTAACAGCTAATATTATCAAAATACAAATATGATATTCTATACTGATGTTTAAGATTAATAAGAGAAAACTTACCTTAAAGCAGAATCATCTTTTTTTAACGCCTCCTCTAACGTCTGTAAAGTTTTCTTATTGTCAACTGAAATATAACAATCACCACCATCATTATCAGATACAAATTGATATACATTGCTAACTCATCTTTTTATAATCTATTTGATACTCTTCTCCAAGGGTCGCCATCTCTTGGACCCTCTCCCAGGCAACAAGCTGTCATCTGTAGGTTCTTGAGACAGGGTCATGGTTTCTCAGTCTAATAACTCCCTATTTAGTGTGTTTAATAAATCTATAAGTAATTTTTCTCTTTCAAACTTGAAAAATATGACCAGGACGAGTTAAAAGTTGGACCACCTACCTTTCAAGCCTAAATTTTTTAAGGCGAAAACTGCGTGAAATATATTGACAACATCTCCATCAGATTTAATAGCACCTTCTAATAGAGACTGAACATCTCCTACATTTAACTGAAAAATAGAAATATCTCATTTCTTAGTTTAAAATCAAATTTCATAGAATAATCAATGCAACAATCTATAATTTCACAGCATGAATGTTACAAGGATATTATCATAATCACTTAGATTCTCAAATATCTGTTCACAGTACTGGTCTCAATACACATAATACAAAGACGAGTTCATTTAAAACATGGTACAACCTACCTTACAGCCAGTGAGATGTTTAGCAGCAGATGAAGCATGATATAAAGATGCTATACTGGTTTTATCTACATTACTGTTAATATTTTTACAAGCCTCTTGTGCATTAGGTACAGTAGAACCCAATAAACTCAGTCCCAATATACCATAATGAGCATTGGTTACGTCAGTAAACGGATGGGCTGCCTCAAATACTGATTTCAGACGATTTTGATCTAATGTGGTTAAGAATGTGGACGGTGTCAGAGCCTGTCCCACCACTACGACAGCAAATAATAACGTTACTGATAAATCTACAATAACAAAAAATAGAAATATAAGCTAATTATTGATATTAATAACATTGTTACATTTGGTGTGGGGTGTTTTCCACGATTGTCCACTGCAAAGCTTCATTTCTGCTTTCCCCAATGATCACTAACTCTGCACTAAGTTTGATTACATTTGATATGGTTGTTACCTTCATTGTCCACTTCAAGGCTTTGATTAAGCACAAAACTCTTTCATGAAAGTTTTGGGAAGATCTGCTTTATCTAATGATCAATAACCCTTGATTACATTTAATGTGGGATGTGACCCCTATTGCCCACTGCAAAACCTTTGATCAAGCACAAAACTCTTTCAGGAAAGTTTGGAAAGATTAGCAATTGCATGCATCAATGATCACTAACCCAGCACAACGTTTGGTGTCATTTTCTTTTACACTGTGAGCAATCAATCATAGATTTAAGCTGCAAAGAGTTCAAGAGTGAAGCCTAAACTCTACAGATGCCTGTCACAATGGTGATCAAGGTCTATGATAGCTAATTAAGGAATCTGAGCTCGATGTTCAGATCCTCATCCTATTGTTTTGGTTGACATTACACGTGGCAAAATCAACCAATAGAAACTCGACACCGGTTCTCGTCTAACTTAATCGCCACTTTTGCAAAAAATATCCCATGTTCAAGAATCAAAAGTCCAGATCGGGAATATTGGAACCATTTGTGCATAATCTGTACATTTGCAGAGCAATCGGCACCATCTTACATCATTAAAACTTTAAAAACAATCGTTTTTTACTTACGATTCGCCATTTCCAGCGTCTTCATACGAACTTCCGCTTTTGACCGGAAGCAGGTGCTTGGGCAACGTTCGTATTTTGATAATGGGCAACCTTCGACCTATTCAAGCATTTTCTTAATTGGGTTTAATTCGCGGATTTCAAACATTTCGAAAACAGCAGTTTCTCAGACTGTTTGTATTTGGTATTTGTGACGCTTTTCCTACCAAATTTTAATGCAATACAACAATGTTTGCTCAAAAAAGTAATGCATAAAAAGTGAGCTAAAAAGAGTAGGCAGTAGAAACATTCAAGATGGCGATGAACAAGAGAGGAAACGTGAGTATTTACTACGATTTCTCTGTTTTATGTGCTTTATTTTAATAATTTTTGGGTATTTCTTGAAGATTTTATATAGGGAAACCTCTCAGGCAAAATTCATTCCGAAAAATCGCATTTTTATGGAAATAGAGTCTTCACAAATAGGCATCTATATTGGGCAACGCTTGTTTTGTAAACAAACAATGGCCGTGATCCAAATGTCTGCAACTGAACTGATTTCTCAAAGCTTTATGTCTTGTGTCCATTAGACTGGTTAAAGCACAGATTCATTTGATTAAACCCAAAGAATTGTGCCAATGCCTTTTGTTGTTGAATAGACCCTTTAATCACCCTAATCCTCCCCTAAAACCTAATCTTTCAGCCAAATTAATTAATATTTAATTTATAAAGCAGACGTCACTCTGTAATTCTAACAATCTGTTTGTAGGTGAGGCTACCGCCAGAAGTCAACAGAATACTGTATATCAAAAATCTCCCATATAAAATCACTGCAGAAGAAATGTATGATATTTTTGGTAAATATGGAGCCATTAGACAGATCAGAGTGTAAGTTGTTTCAAGATTTTGAAGTTGGTTTTCTCCCTTAATTGGCTTAAATGATATTTGCATTAAAAGCGAGGCTATAAATGTTGTGCCTAGGGCTGGGTAAAATGATCTAAATAATCGATAATCGGTAGTTTTCCATCGATAATCCATCTCAATTTTGTAATCGATACCCAGCACTACCTCTTAACTTAAACTGGTTGGTCTCTTCTGCATTAAAGCTTTCGTATCAATATCACTGTCTTATTTTCTAGGACAATATTGCTCCAAGGTAGCAAACTCTGTTTTTAGAGCATGTTCTGTATTTTAACAATATACCTGTGTTTTATAGGTATGTGTGTTTATGCTGTAAAGAGCAATATAAATAGGTTATTAATATGACTATTGTTTAAATTTCAGTGGTAATACGCCAGAAACTAAGGGAACAGCGTTTGTGATCTATGAAGATATATTTGATGCTAAAAATGCCTGTGATCATCTGTCAGGTTTTAATGTGTGTAATAGATATTTAGTTGTATTATATTACCAGGCCAATAAGGTAGGTTTCTCTTGGTTTGTGTTGGATAAAGAAAACCTATCAAAGACAAGTTTAGCTCATACGTATTAAAAATATTACAATGTTCATTTCTCTCGATGAAAAAGAAAAATAATCTTATAACCTATTTGAATTTATGGATGTCAAGGTGATTTTTTGTTGTTGTTTTGTCAAGAAAACAAGAAACACTGGTCAAAGAGTGTAAATTGATAATGTCAAAGATTGGCCTGATGAATTTAGAATTAATAAAATTTTGATGCATAGCAATTGGATGTTAAACTCCAGTTATATTATAAATTCATATTTTTATATTTTCAGTCATTTAAGAAAGTGGATACTGATAAAAAGAAACAGGATTTAGATCAGATGAAACAGAAATATGGACTCAGTACTCCAGAAGTTAAATAGATACTATCTATTGGGAGATTTTTATTTGTGTTTGGTTGGATCAAAAAGACTTGTATATAAATATCGTAATTCATAGTGAAAGACATAGTTGTTCTTGAGTTCTAACAGCTTGTATAAAAACAGATCTAAAGATTGCCCCATTTTATAACAAATAGACATCCTCCTTCACTGATTACTTCTGATCTTGGTAACTTTATTGTTATCCAATCTTACAAGATGATCTGTGGATTTTTGCAGTCAATAAATAACCCTCCAATGTCAAAGAATAGTTTCTGGGTAAGGAAAGATGTATTTTGTGAAGAAAGAAAGAACATACGTTTTGAGTAAAATATTTTATATAACAAACATCTTATAAATATACATAAAACAATAAATATCAAAAACAGTAGATTGCTGGTGGATTTCTTAAGTTTTTATCGTAAGGCACTTGTGGATTGTGTTCGGGGTTGTCCATATACACATAGAGGGGGAGGGGGTGGAAATTTCTCTAACTTTGTGTCTTTTTGTATCCCTTTTGTTCCAAGGATATTGCATTTTGAACTCTTCTTGCTGTATTTAAGAGTAGTAGTAAAAGATGACTTTTCTGTACCCAGCGTCACTCCAGAACATGTTGACCTTCACCCCAAAAATATTTAACTTAAGATGTCTGTCGAGGTGGAGCTCTCTACAAGAGACTAGTTTAAATACTTTTTGATCACATGACCACACATCTATCTTTATATCGGGAGATACGATAGTTCTCGGGACGTTTTCCCGACCAGAAACCTTGGTTCCTACATTCTGTTACTATAAACTCGTCCACTTCTACACCGTGAAATACCTCCACCTCCGTTAGACTCAGTCTGGACACGTTTAACGGCACGCTAGGTTTTCTAATGGCTGTTTCTATCTCTGGTTTAATACTGTTAATATCTAACGGACCCCCTAAATAGTTTCTAGTAGCTAGCTCCAGATTCACGGCAGGTAATGCTGGAATGAAAAACACACACGGATGAATGAAGAGAACATCCTCTAAAACATGTAGGGCAAAATGGATAAAGATTAAACCTATAGGGCATTACATTTTTAACATCACTGATATAAGGGGAAATTATGAGCATGTTATGTTCTAGTTTGGAAAGCTAACCCCCGTTTTCAAAGCCAGCTGTCCTGATGAGGATCTCAAAACCATGTCGGGTCTTCCCTAAACTAATATATCATATGCCTACTCTACCCCCATCTAATGATTCATATAGTCTGTATAGCCTGTATATATGTTAAGTTCTGACCTACCTCTCTGACTGAGTAGAAATTGATAAGCTGGTATAACAGATTGAGGGTCTAATATATGTAATTTAACAAATAGTTCATTCATATCCCTGTTATATTCTTCCTCTTTATATTTCCCTTTTATAATTCTCTGTAATACGGTCTTCATCCAACTCGGCTCCATTATAGCAGATACCAACTTCTCTGCCCATATATGACTGAAAACACATAGCAATGTACTGTAATGATATTACATATTTAATTGTACACAAACTAGATGTTTGAATTCATGTCTGAAAAGTGATACAGACAGCTCAAATTGATGAAATTTAACAAGTAAAACCACAGTTTCACAGTTTCGACTACAGATCACAGGTAAATATTTACAGTATTAAATGAATTTCTGTTCCTTAAACATTCTTCAGTCTTACCTTTCATCGTCGAGATAATCGTCTATTGAGATGCCAGTTTTCTCGTCTTTAACTGTGTAGGGATAAACTAGAGTGTACAGTGCGAAACCTGGAATAGAATTTTCATTGTTATTAAACTATTGCCAAACGATACCCATTAAAATTCTATCAAATCATGAGCAGGAACGTAAAACTCGCAGATTTCCATTTGCCATCTGTCTATCGCTCTCTCTGATACTCAACCACAAAACCCCCACCCCCTCCTCATTCCGACGATTACTTACCTAATTTCTTCCACTGTAGACCATAATAAATCTCTCTAAGACAATCTTCTGTCGCGGTTTTATTGATAGTCGTATGGAAACCGTATTCATCTTTAATTTTAGATATAGTCTGACACACATAGGCCGTGGAGAACTTGGTCAGGGGAAACGTCCCAACACTGGCACGGTCTTTATAAGTTCCCGGAGTAGCCAGGGGAAAAAACACTTCGTGGAATCGTGGCTGCATTCTGATTAAATTGATAAGTAGGTTTCTACAGGCGTTGGAGGCGATATCTTCGTCTTTCTTATATGGTGATAGCCTTTGAAGGATTTCCAACGTTCTTTTGTCTCCCATTTTGTTAAAATCAGATTTAATTCTGGCAGAAAAACGTACACACAAGCACACTTAGGTTAAAAGATTTTGGTGAACATCTTTGAAGTCAGGAATGGTTTAAAACGCTTTCAACAAACTCCGTATTTAAAAGAGTACAGTCTGTCACTAAAGCAACACACGTAACTTCGAGTTGAAGCCTCTGACTCACATTGACTCCATTTAACATCAGTAAAATTCCATTCAAACACGGAAAAAGGTTGAAATGTGTTCTTCTAGATCTCCGTAACAATGCAATTGAAATATCGTGGAATCCCTGCAATATAAAACATGACTGTGGACTTAATAACTCACCCTAATATATGCAGAAAAGCGTTGCTTTTAGACAGGTATATCTAGCTATCATTCCGAACCTCGGAGTCTTTATTATCTTAGCCTATAGCACAAAGTAAAACCCCTTTAGATTCTTAAGACTGTGAGATTTGAACCTCTTACAGCTACGTCCATTTCGTCTACGTTTACGCTGACGACATGGGCTGGCCGTCAATATAAAAGAAAGTATCGGGTATCCATGTATCCAAATATTAAAACACCCCCCCCCCCCTCTTTCCATTCTTAAGATGCGTCTTACCGTACCAGCTGTAATTAATTATTGAGAATGAATGAAATATTTCTGACCATTCCCATCTTAATATACCCCTCTCTCTGTCCAGTCAGATCGACGTGGGCTTGTCGTCATTGTAACAGAAAGTGGTAAATATCATTATACTATACGAGATAATAATAATTATATGCCAATTGTTTCCACTGTTAAATGTCAAGTCTCCTATTATAGTTGCAATTATATTATTAACCTCCGTTTCACTTGTACAGGAGTGGTGTGTGCGTGTGTGTGTGTGAAGGGGGGGGGGGGGGGGGTGCCTCATGTAGACATAGATCTACATAGGTGGAATTGTAACAACGCCCTTTGAACCTTTGATACTACTTAAATATAAATGTTATATAATCAGCTTACTGAGTTATCTTAGCTTAATTCCATATGGTCATATTCAATTAACCACTTCTACGACAGCCGGATTCCTGCTTTCAGAATTCGGTCAAAGGTCAATCCTGAAGCCAAAGTTCCCCATAAAAACTACATTATGCCTACCTTTATTGTTGAACTCGTTCCGTGTTTATATCTGTATCCAAAAACACCGTAACAGTGTCACGGTTTGAATGAATATATAAAATATGTATGTAATAACGACCCACTTAAATAGGTGATTATTTAAAGGCCCTATCACACTGGCTAGATCAACAGCTTGTTTTGTCAAATCGTCAAGATTAGGCCTACTTATTCTTTTACTATGGAGTCTTTTCGCAGGGTCTTAAGTAGAAACATACCTTTGTTACGGTACTCTACGAAACGCTGCCTTTGGTGATGAAATAAAACGGCCACACGTCAAGGTCCAACAATATTATTTGAATGCCTGAAAGTTCCTTGATAATATTTGGCTGATCCAAATGGCGTTTAGTATGAATTAAGTTTAGCTCGCAAAGATAGGAATTCCATTAAATTCAATTATCACAGTGTAATCCATGTATATACAAAATCGTCCTGTGTAGTAGGGCCTTTACCCAGCTGGCGAACGGTTAAAAAAATAAATGGTTTACACTCGGTGAATTGAAACTAATAGCGGTCCGTCTTCTCGCTTCATGGATCAGAATATTGTCACAAGATTGCTTAACCCCAACTTAATCCGGTTTCTGTGGAAACCGAGAACAGTTAAGCGTATTAGCGTTATAATTGGATGATTGGTTAAGTCTAATGAAGATCTCAATTGGATTAGTTAATGTAATCAAGATCTGTCACAGCAGTACTAATTCAAACCCATTGCACTAAATGACCACCCTCCCGTCGACAATTTTGAGGCCCTGTCCTATTGATTGTCAGACACTTCAATGTGCGATGAAGGGCTTATCTTGCCGACTTGACACTGTGTACGCTGAAAGGTTCATCTTGCCAACTTGACACTTGAGTGTGCGGTGAAAGACTTTTTTTTTAATAAATTGACATTTCAGTTTGCGGTGAAAGGCCCATTTTGTCTGCAGGGGGAGTGCTCTGTCCGGTTTGACACTAAGTACAGTGTGTGAGGAAGGGTCATTTCTCTGATTTGACAATACAGTGTGCGGGGGAAAGGCCCTTGTCGACAGTATGCAGGGAAGGGCCAATATTAACTTCAATGTGCGGGTACGCCGTTATACCAACTTGACACTTCAGTGTGCGGGGATAGGCTTCTCTCGTCGACTTGATACTTCAATGTATATTGCCACTTCAGTGTGCAGGGAGAGGCTTATCTTGCCGGCTGGACACTTCAGTGTGCGACTTGTCAGTTGAATGTGTGGGGGAGGTGTTTGTGGATATTTGCAGAGAAGGGAATTAAAAACAAAATATTTTTTTAATGATTTATTTTCCAGGCAGAATTATACCATCATACTGAAATAAAGAAAAAAAAACAATTTAGAAATTGGCTAGGAAAGGGAAATAAACTTTATGTCAAAGGTTGGTCCGTTTCAATCTTTTTTGAAAATTGTTCAGTTGTCTATCTCCTCAGTTCAGTCCTCAATTTCAATAGATTCCTTTTCAGAAGAATGAGCATGCCCTTCCTGTGTCCTTTTTGAATGTCCGATATAAATTCTGGAAATGTGCTCTGGTAAACAGTCTAACAATCATTAGTATACACTAATGCCATGAATAACGCTCTGCAGACTGAGAGATACCCTACCTTCTGTTGAAACCATTTCATGGCTTCATCCTTGGTAATTCTGTGTTTAATACCAATTCTATTTTTACATCTTCGTCTTTTAGATACATTGTATCCTAAAATTAACAGATACTAATTAAATACAAGATTTCACTGAGGTTTAGCTTATGAAGTTTATTTAGCGACTATTAGAGAATTTGTCAATAGTTAAAATAGATCAACCACAAAGGCTGACTGTCAAGTCCTCTGATTGGCTGTATTCGCAAGACCACGGTCCAATCAAATTCAAATGGCTACCTGTACAAACTTCTGTGATACAAGAAAGGTGGCTATTGCAGTCAAGGTATAAGAAAAACGTAAAAAAGATATGACTTACCAGCTCTGCCCAGGACTATGTAGAAATGCATACCATAGATACCGATGCTTGGGTCGTATTTGATTCCCAAATCAATGTGTTCCTGGATACCAAAACCAAAACTGCCAGAGTTGGAGAAGTTTCTGGTTTTCAATTCATATTCAATGACCTGAAACAGAGTTGACATAAATTATTGTGACCTACTCGGGTTTCTGTTTTACAATCTATACAGTGTAAATAATTAATTTCAATAAGACCGAGGGGGTGGGTGTCATTAGCTAAGCAGGGCATGCTCACTTCTCGGATAACTCAATGCAATTTGGAGTGTACACGTATACAATTTGAGAAGTGTATTCTGAAACAGCTGAAGCCATACTTTGCCTGCTTTAAACACAACATTACGAAATCTAGGGCACATAAAGGATTTCCAAGTCGTCAAGTACAGTGGTGTTTGATATGACATCATTAAAAATTTGAAAAGTGAAGGTATTTACCTTTAATCCTCTTTCTAAGATTTCTTCTGCTTTAGGGCCTCTGACTGTAGCATATACAGCAATTTTCTCATTACGTCGGATACCAAACGCACGGATTGTGTAACGAGCTGAAAGGAAACAATTTTATTAGAACTGGCATACCCTGTCTGGCACCACACCCGTCATAGCTGCTTAACATACACAACAAACCACAAATTGGAATGTACTAACAAAACATACCTTTAGCAAAGACAGGTGGCTGTCCTGTGAGGGCTTCCAAGACTTTACCAGCTCTAGTTAATCTATCACCAGATTCACCAACACAAATATTTAAACATAATTTAGCAATCTTCAATTCTCTCATTTGATTATTCTTCTTGTCTTTCTTTTCTACCTTCTCTTTGCCTTTCTTTCCAGAGGCTGCTGGCTTCTTCAATGGGTTAGCTTTCGCCTTGGGCTACAAGCATATATTAAATCATTAACTAAAAATGGGGAATGGGGGTAGCCTAATATTGTTATGATCGTGTCGGCGACTGCCAAACTTGCATTATTTCTACATATCACAACGATCAAGAAGTACATGCACGATCCCCGTGATTCATGCGATTGTTTACTTTTGGTTACGTTCGGTTCAGTAATGGAAGATCAAAAAACTAATTTAATTTTGTACACTACCTAACCAACGTGGATACCACTAGCTTGCATTTCGTCATTCAGTGTAAAACAAAACATAGTGAACTTTAGACGATCTAGGCTTCAGATGGCTCAAAAAGTTAGTTTATGTGACGGGGGAATGGATGTAGCATATTTCTAAATTGCTTAATTTTCTAAATTTATTGAATTTGGGGTAGGATGGGCATGGATTTAGTGAATTTGTTATTAAAATGTCGTACCCCCATGATAGCTGATATTAAAAAGGAACCGGAAATAGAAAAGTATTCAGACATGCGCGATCCGACAAATCGTACTGTCGTCAAATCGACCATATTTGACCAAATCGTACGACTGTCATTTAGGACAGACAATACCAAATCTTTTTTGCGTGGAATGGTTTCAATTTTATTGCATTCCTTGAAATCCGTCGCTTATGATGTAGTAGATCTTGGCTTAGTTTTCATACCCCGAAATTAGAAAACCTTTTGGGTCTAAGCTGTGGTCTAGTTCCACATAAAGTAGGGGGGCACGTATGGAAGAGGGAGGAAAAGAAGGGGTTTAATGGAAGATTACAGAGACAGGATTTTGCACTTATGAGTAATTTCTGTTATCAAATGTATACTTTGACCACTGTCGTAGGCCTACATTATTTTATCAGATATAGTCCCAATCAGATCAGATAAATACTGATAATTCAATTTTCTAATTTTTATCATTTTCTTACCAAACTTAGTCTTCCGGCCTTCGTCTCTTTATTTCGTTCGGGGTGGTGAAGTGGAATTCACCCGAGACTTCAAAATGTCGGCCATTTCGTATATAGAACATATTCTCGTGGCCATTATGGTGGTTGTTTTGGTCAACATCTTCGTCAACAAGGGAAAAGATGCGTTTTTAAAGGCCATTGTCGTCGTGTTGAAAAATTTACCAGGAATGGCGACGGTTATTGAAAAGGTTTTGAAGAATGAAGCTACTAATTTTATGAAACAAGTCAACCTGGCTCCTAAAAAAGGAGAGAAGAAGGCTCCAAGAGTTGTCATTCCTGATACTGGTGAGTTGATTTCTTAGATATTCCACAAGATGAACTTGTATGTTACTATTCTGATCAAAGAATACTTCCATGCAAACCTGCGCTGCACACCGAAGCAATAAGTCCACAGTTAACATACACTGATCTTGGTAACGTATTTTAAAATCTGTTTTAAGGTATACCATACGATGAAATCAGAAAAGAACTGGACGTTCTACAGTCAGAAGAAAACAAGCTAGAAGATGGGAATATTTTCGCCTACATGTATACTCTACAAGATGGTCATTTCGAAATACAGAAGGAATGTTTCGACAGATTTGAACGTAAGTATAACGGTTTGTTCACGCTATGAAATGTTTTGCTAACAGAACACACGGAGAGATCATTGTAAAGGAATAACACGGGCTACTGGATTGTGGGGGCTTCAAAGGTATATAATAATAGAACCATTTAATTTCACTTCATATGATAATATTTCAGAGGCCAGTGGTTATTCTGTGGACCACGATGCATTGGTTAAAGAGGCTCATCACGCCTTTCTACACGAAAATGCTTTAAATCCTATGATTTTCCCCAGTTTGAGGTAGGTAGGGCGTTATTTGTCATCAACGTATAGACGTATAGAAGTATAGACGTCTTCTGTCTTGAGCATTGATGTTTTGATTATATAGATATATGTCGGTGTTTCCACTAACATGCTCAGGGGCTAGTACATCGAGGGCAAAACCCAGAACAAAGCCTGCCTCCCCCCCCCCCCCATTCAAATTACTAATCATTTACATGGAGAAAGTATAGCCTGTGAGCCCCACTTGACATTTCTGTTGCCCCTACTCGATTCCTCACATAATGATCCATAGAAACACCTCTAGTCTGTATATCTGTTATCTATTTTACAGGAAAATGGAGACTGAGATTCTCAGTATGTCGGCTGATATGTTAAACGGAGATGAAGAAGCGTGTGGATTCCTTACCTCTGGTGGTACAGAGAGTGTTCTAATGGCCGTCAAAACATACAGAGATAGAGCTCAAAAACTATTTCCTCACATCAAAAATCCAGAAATCGTAAGTAAAAACTTATCTCATATCCAAACAATTTTCTTAATACATATTTATATAATTACACTGTTGCTATGTAAATTGCTGAAACGTTGTGTACGAGGCGTAGCCTACAATTTACCAAACAGGAGTAGTAGTATTGAACAATAAACTAATAAAACTGTTGCTATGTAAATTTCTGAAACGTTATGTACAGGGACTAGTAAAAATTGTATTAATTACAGAGCAAATGTCTATATATTTCAGATAGCCCCGATAACAGTACATCCGGTTATAGAGAAGGCAGCACATTATTTTGGATTGAGCATCACAAGAACACCAATAGGTCCTGATTTTAGAGCCAACGTCAAGGCCATGGAGAGGGTATGTTTTGGGCACTGGGATAACTATTTAGCTTCTAGGTCCACCAGATTTGATAAACGACCATCAATGAATATACAAGGATAACAACTTGGGTTTTAGAATCTTATTGATCCTGTCTATACCCACTGGTCCTTGGTCAAAGGTGGCTTGCAATGATTATAACAACTGGTCGAGGGATCTCAATTTTGTATCCAACCAAGTCCACAAGTTATCTAGACTGAAACCAATCTTCTTTTCCAGGCCATAACCTCGAACACAATCTTACTGGTAGGGTCGGCTCCTCAGTTCTGTCATGGTATCGTTGACGATATAGAAGCTATGTCTGATCTTGCCTTGCAGACAGGTCTACCTCTTCATGTTGACGCCTGTTTCGGGGGTTTTATGCTTCCATGGTAAGTATTAATGCCACTGTCTCATTGCTCACTGCATGCATTATGATTATAGTCAATCGCATACCCAAATTCTGGACTCTTGTCGTGTTCGCTTATCTTTACACCAAGCTTTAGATGTAATGGCGGACCAGTTAAAAGCAAGAATACGTCACCCGCATACGTCATAACCATTTATTATGTATTCTAGGGTAGAAAAACTAGGATATGAAGTGCCCAAATGGGATTTCAGGTGTCCAGGAGTAACATCCATATCTGCTGATATTCACAAATATGGTTACACCGTTAAGGTAAGAGGCCTCTATTTCTAATTACATCGATCGATAAATAAACCAAGTAATAACGATCCGAAATCCAAAACATATTGGTAGCAGCTAATGAACTTTTCACATACTCAGAGAGTTCACAAACAAACCCAATTTGAATTTCAGGGTTCAAGTGTGGTGGTTTATCGAAACGCCGAGTTGAGAAAATACCAGATATTTGTGTATGCCGAGTGGCCTGGAGGATTATATGGTTCTCCTAGTATGGCTGGAACTAGAGGAGGTAGGTCATCACCAGTTTCGCCATCGGCATCTTTCTTCTCTAACACTCCGACTCGGCTCCCCTTTTGGATTTTACAGGGCACTAGTCTTGGTAGGGGTCAGAGCCTCCCCCTGGAAAATTGTCTAATCTAGGATGGCAGAGAATACATAATTTTAGGCTACATATTTAATACTAGTGATGTGATTTGCATTACAGGGGGTAATATAGCGGCGTCGTGGGTTTGTATGAGATCTCTAGGTAAAGATGGATATATGAGGAAAGCTAAAGAACTGATGGATATCACCAACAAGCTGAAAGATGGTATCAATAACATAGATGTAAGTATAGTATAGCCTCGTGGGGTGGGTCGTTCCTATGAATCATTAGGTTAACCGGACTGGGGAGGGGGGAGGGGCAAAGCCAGGTTATCGTCAATTCTGCAGCTGTAGCAGTTGCTGTATGATGAAGTAGGATAGCTCAGTTGATATTAATGTTCCCACTCAATGCTTCGAAATATCTGACTCCATGAACAGTCTTGTTTTCTTTCCAGGGATTGTGTATCCTTGGTAACCCATCTATGACAGGATTCTCCATTGGTTCCAATAACCCGGATGTTGATATCTTGGCTGTAGCAGACGCCATGGAAAAGAAAGGTTGGTGAATCAGTTCTATCTTGGTTACTATAAGCATTTCGTATTGAAAATAGGCCAAGGACAAGCTGGCAGATAGGACCCTATTGAACCTAAGTTATTATCCTTGTCAAATCGTTACCAAGATCAGGGCCAAACAAAGGTCAATATAAGTTGTTATCCGTGTAAATAATTGGATATTTCTTTCTCTATTTTCTTTAATCAAAAGTTTGTTTGTGTTTTTAAGGTTGGAAAATTGAAAGACAACAGAATCCGTTCTGTTTACACTGTTCCATCTTACCTCATCACGCACCTGTCACCGATAAACTACTGGACGATTTGAAAAACAGCACTGACGAGTGTAGGGTATGTATCAGTTTACTTCACCGGAAAGGGTTACGAAGGAGCCTATCCCAACTCCATATCATCAAATTTTTATGTCTGTTTCGGTTCTACGGCTCTCGACAACTTAGGCATGCGCTCTTCCCACATGCACATATTAATATAGAGGTGGATCTACAACAAGTCAACTGAAATTCAAATAATTAATCTAGTCTGTGTTATTTTTCAGAACAACAAGTCTCTATCTAAGAGTGGCACGGCCGGTGTTTACGGGATGATGGCCAGTATTCCTGATAAAGGTCTCATCAGTGACTTCATTGTGGAGTTCTTCAGTGAAGTTTACAAATGTAAATAAATTGATTGTACATCGCTATATTGTATATATATTTACTTTTAATAAAACACAAATTATTGAATTTTTTACATTAATTCCAGCTCACTTAATTCGCAAGAGTTTTCATGAAACGGGGCCCTAGTCCTGATGTCTTTACGCCTCACCCAGACCTTCTAGTTTTTGCCCAATTGAGATAGTGGCCTTCCTGTATCAAAACAACAAACGGTTAGTTAATTCAGACTAATTAGAAACGTTAATGGGATTAAATTATTAAGAGAAATCCATTAACTAACTATTGTTTGAAGTCAACGAATCGTGACTGAGTTATCTCCCTTTAATCACTCTCCTATCATTGACGTCACAAATTCCATAGTAACGTTTAAAGATGGCGGACAAACAAGCAGGTGCCCGTTATGTATAACAGTAAATGGTGAACGCTTCTCATTAAGATAACGGGACTATTAAACTATGTAAGTAGATTTAAGACATTTCAATCTTTTAATACGGACAAGGATACGCATCTTTTGATGGACATTAATCACAATGGCGGGCTTAGAAGTGTATTTGTTACGACGAATGAAATGTTTTGTTGTTTGTTTACATTTGGTTTTATAATGGCGGGTGATTTTCAAGGCCACTGTCGTGATTGTTTTGCTTTATAACATGAAGCCATGGACAAGATGTAAGATTTTAGCAGTAAAGTATTCAGGAATGGAAGTCTGATAGCACTAACAGAAGGAAATGTAGGGGATAACTTATGACTGGGTACAGCATTCCTAAAGTCATATCACATCTTAAAAGGGCAATATCAAATTACATAATTGATTAGACTATCAATAACCAATGAGTGTATTATACACCCAAATTATCATAGAGTGTCCTGTTTTATTTGTTCTTATTAAACTTGTAATTCATACTGATATTAACATGGTAGAGTTAAAGTTAATTCTTTAGAAAGTGTATGTAATTAAAGCAATTTTTGTCTTTCAGATAAAATAAGAAATATTCCCATGAGCCAACACAATAGTTAAAAGATGGAAGTACAGAATAAAAAGAGAACTACAGGTAGATGATTACTGGAATTCATATTTGAGGACAAAATGAAAGTTAAAATTGTAATTTAGACTTTGATCCTCGTTCGCTTTATATAGCTATGTGGTCTCTCCCTTATGTGTGCTGAGTTGACAAGCTGTCCTGTTGTTCCGGGCACAAGAGATTTTGGTTTAAGAAATTAAGTTATTATAAGATTATAGGAATACTCTAAGTTCAAACAGAATATATTTTATTTGTCTTTTAGGAGTGAAAGGTAAAGGGAAAGGTAAAAAAACTAAAACTGAAACAAAAGATACAGAACCTTCTGATGTAGAACCAGGAACTTCCAAACAACCCACAGAATCTAAACAAGGTAGGTCTGTTTTAACTTAATCTGAATGGTGAAACATGGACTTACTGACACATGAGTTTTTCACACTCATCCTGTTTCCCATCTGTCAAAATTCACAGAAAAGTTATAAATATTTATAAAATATCAGAATAGATATGGCTGTAAGTAGCTGAAGATCTAAAGGCTCTTCAATACCAAATGAAGAAAAAACTATGGGAAGCAAACAATAATATTGTCCTGATGAGGATGTCATATCAAAAACACAGCTTGGGATTAGATCTTGTCTCATAATCTTATCTTTTAATTAAAATAATTATTAGTAATTTTTGTTTTGAAGATGTTAGCGTAGATATGGATGGTCCATCAGTGGCTATAGATCTAGAGGATCCACAAGTTCAAGATGAAAAACCAGAGAAAGTTAAAGATGATCCATCCCTAAAGGAACAGACATCCGAGGTAGAAGAGATTTTACCAGACGAGAATGGAGGTGTACAAACTTTAAACAAGGTCAGTTCATCCGTGGCTATAGATCTAGAGGATCCACAAGTTAAAAATGAAGTAAAAGAGAAAGATATTTCACCAGTGAAGACAGAAGTTGTGGATACTCTAGAGGAGAATGATTATGAAATACCAGTTATTACTGTGGAACAGAATCAGCAAGTTAAAACAACCCAACAAACCGAACAATCATCTGAGGTAAGCTTGAAGAGACCAGGTAACCTTTTGACCTAACCCTCCTTTAACCAATCAAATCTCTGCCCTGTACTGGCATTTTGTGAGAGAGTGAAGGAATTTGATTGGTTAAAGAAGATGTCATCAGGTTAGGTCAAAAGGTTATTTTGACGAATGTTTAAGAGGCCTGTCTTTAAACCCAAACTAAAGTGACTATGTTAAAATAAATGCCAATAAAAAACAGAAAGAAAATTCAGACTGTGTTTGGATTTACATTAATATTTATTTTATGATTATTTCCAGAAACAAGAGACTGAGTCTATAGATTTTTCTAGTATTAATCCTGAAGATTATGGTTTGAAGGTAGAAGATGATGACCTGCCGGCTGATTTTATTTACGGTATTTATATTCAGTATTTTGGACAGAATCTTGACAATTAAAATTATTTACATGAGAACAACTTAGGTTCACATGGATCCTATCTACCAGCTTGTTCTTGGCCAAACCTCATGTCAATGAGTTTTTCTTTCAAATTTCATGAGTTGTCCAAAAGATAAAAATACTTACGCCTTTTTTTAGCCAACATTTTAAAGGTAGTAAAACTTGTCAACTAATAAATTTGTTTTGATATTTTTCAGAGCCCCCACCCCAAACAGACCTGCCAGATTTATATAATTTACTGGCCTCATTGGAAGAAGGTAACGGAGATCTGGTAACTAAGGACCCACCACCATCTTTGTTTGCTATACCTGAACATATTCCAAGTTACTCCAAAATTTCAGGTAGGAATTGAGTTCTTATGTTTTAGTGATGTTGTCTTTTATGCAGAGTTTTTTGTTAATGGAATATTTTTGCTTTGACAGATCTTTTTTTCTTTCTTAGTGTGAATACTTTATAATTATTGTAACAATAAAGCTATACTTGTTCTTGGTTTCTTGTTAACTGAATATATTATTGTATTTCTAGAACTACGCTATGAAATAGAGAAAGGTGAACTCCAGCCGTATATTTCACGATTTGATACTGACGTTAAAGATGACGTGGTTTTACTGGGAAAGATTTCATTGGAGGAGGTACAGGAAGAAGAAAAACGACTGCGGGATGAACATATTCTATATTTAGAACAAGAATCCCGACTAGCTCGTGAACGAGAGGAAAAGTTGATTAATCGTGAAGAACAAGCTAAAACCAGAATGGCCACTTTTGTAAAAGATAAGAGAGGAGACTTGGCTCGAAGAGAGGTTTGTCAATTTTCTGTCGTGACGTGGGTTTTTTATCAGGTCAAATTGTAAGGAAGTATTCTATTTAAATTGGATGAAATGATTGATGCAGATGCACTGACTCTGTCTTTGACTGATTTCTAGCCACCATTGGCCGTCTGGCTTGTCAACTCAGTAACTGTCAATAATTGATATTATTTTCCCCTCCAGGAGTTGCTACGTCAGAAAGAGAAGTTGATGTTGGATCATGTTCACAAAGCTTTCCGTCGTGCCGAGAGTCAACTCATTGGTACCTTAGAAAGACGCAAGGGGGAAGTCAAGACCTTATATGGTGATTTGATGCTAGCAGACGGACAATATGGTGGGTCAAAAGGTCGAAGGTGGAAGGTGGATTGGAATCGAACACCTCAACCAATCAAGATTAATCTAAAGTGTATTCGTGGTGTGAAGGACAAGTTACCAGGTATGTATTTTAGAAGAGAACAGAGGACCTTGGTTCTTTGATTAGTGTGGTTGGAATCTCATTTTCGTTCAAACTCATGGTTGTCATGGGTTATAATCTCGGAATGAATAAGTTATCTCTCCTCATGTTTCCAGTTGACTTATAAACATAATCTTGGTAAGGACTAGCTGGTAGAAAGGATGGTCATGAACATAACTTATTAAATTCATTATCAAAGAAGTTTGACCAAGGACTAGCTGGTAGCTGGACTAGCTGGTTAACGTAAATTGTTATAGTTGTTTGTATGTGTTGTAGGTGGTCGATATGTAATGATGGCCTCTCTATATAACAGACTGGGCGGTCACACTATGAGATGGTCTAAATTAAAAGGACAGACCTGGGGTGGTACAACACTTCCCATGTTCCACGAGGGTAATTTTTATAACACAGAAATGAAGGTAAGGACACTTGATAACTTTTTATTGGGACTGGGGTGCCTATAGCTGCCTGCTACAGTAGAAATAATAGTCGGTTGAAGTGAGATTCCTATACCTGGAATTTGATTGTTAGACCTTTAAGCACACTGAGTTTTAGTGGAATAGCAGGAACCACAGACGTCAGACTGAAAATTGTAATGGTGTAAATTGATGCTATCAGTGTCCCTGATACAAAAATTTAGAAATCTCTTTACAATCCCTTTGATATTTGTATTTAATGATTTAAAGTGATATATACAGTATATTATAATATATTATTTTAGATCAATCAGAGTTTATTTACTGTTCTCCCAGCTAAACCATCCCTCCGTCCTGGTATGATATTAGTATTTGAGTTGTTTTTATTACGCGGCTCTGTTTTACCAGTAGATAAAGTCGTGGCCTGGGGATGTTTTCCTATTTGTGATGGAAACTTCGACGTTTTAGAGGGAAAGTAAGTCAGATTTTATTCTCTGTATTTTTTATTATTATTTCGATTTGTCATTTGCTATAGAAATACTAAAACAGAACCTGAAACATGTCGTTACTCAGAGTTTCATACTGTGTTTTGATGTTTGATGAAGTACTATTTGATTAATGTTATATTATTCTAGATATAAGTGTAGTATGTTAAGATCAGAGATGAATCTAGAGATAGATAAACACGAGAAGATGGAAGAATTAATCTCATCTGATATCAACCATTGGTTATCTAATTTATATTTCGAGGTTATTAAATTACCCAGGTAAATATTCATTAATTATTTTTAAACACCAGAGAACCAGCAGTTATATTAGTTATAGAATTCTACAATATTTACTAGAGCACTGGTTCCACAGGGTGTAATATTTATAACACCATGCTCTTACATTGCCTTGTGTCCCAACCCCCGATATTATCAGTCTTGCCCTGAATCTGAATTGCAAATTTATGAGCAATACTAATTATACAAAACTTTTTTCAAAAGAAATTTGTATGTTTTTTTCAAATTAGTTTAAATTTATTTTAAGATAAGTTTTTACGTTAGTTTACAATTTGTTTTTGATATTTTGATACAGATATCTGGCTGGACAGAACGAACACGAAGTCGAGTTACAGTTTAGTTCTAAATTAACCAACTTTCCCGATCGGGTACAGACTGGTTGGGACGAGAATAAAGATGGCAGTGATCCCATACCCGGTTCAGTTACAGATATGGGTAGTGCTAGGTAAGTGTGAAGTTATAATGAACTTTGACTGCAATAGTCATCTTTCTTGTATCACGGGAAGCAAGCGATTTGTTTGGATTACACACCAGTGAATTTAGCCAATCAATGTCTTTCAACCACAGACGTCTGATAGAAAATTGGAATGGTACTTATTGATGCTTTATGTTAAAATGCATGTTTGTTGTAAATTTCAGTTCGTCTGGTACTCCTAGTGGGAGTAGTGGAGTTATCAGTACCAATGATACCATCGTTAGATCTGAGGCCACAACTTCTAAAGTTAAACTTCATAATCGACATCTTCAGGTATACTTACTCTTCTAGACACCTGATACCACTTTTCATTATGATATACTTACTCTTCTAGACACCTGATACCACTTTTCATTATGAAATACTTACTCATTTATAATTGATATACTTCCTCATGTTAAAAGTTTATTAGCTGCTACCAATGTTTTACCAATACATTGTTTGGATTTCAGGTTTTGTTTTGCAGTTCGGATCATTAGTACTTGTTTTATTTATAATCTTTTTATTCATTCATTCAGCTGTTCATTTCTTTATTTCGTCATTGGTAAAACTATTTGACCGTGTTATTTTTAGATCGGTACAACGAGTCGATCATCCAGTACTAATATTGGATCTCGAATTATAAAAAAAGACACGAGACGACCAGAAGACGATGATGGTGATGTCTCAAGTGAAGAGGAAGATGAGGTGAAAGCTATTAGGAGACAGGGAGATTTCAGACCACATCAAACTATGCCTGGTGTTTATTATAAGGTAAAGAGTTATCTGCTCTTTCTATCTGTGTGTGTCTGAATGTAGCAGGGCAGGATTAAAGGGGTCGTGAAGGGGTTATCTTAACTTAACTGTTTATAATATCACTATTGCAATAACTACTAATGAAATCTAAGGGTGTTTATTTACGTCATAAACTCTGGGTTTTAGAGGAATTGCAAATCCTCAGACGTCTGACTGACAATTGGAATGGTGAAAATCAAAGCTATCAGCTAGCATTCTTAGACACTTGTTACTCTGCCAGAACTTTTTTTTTTTTAATTGCATATAAACCAAAAGTCAGATTGTAATTTTGAAAAATGATTTAGAAATTAATGTTAAGTCTTGTGTATCTGTATATTTGTGTATTTTTCAGCAATATTTAAACAATCCAGCTGATGAATATTTTAAAAGAATGTACACGATGCTACCACGTACCTCAGTTTTAGCTCCTAGATTGAAGAAAAAGAAGCTGACCCACGTAGAAGAATTAGAAGAACATAGTTTTTCTGTCCAGTATGTGTATTTATACTTTAATTTTAATTCAGACTTTATTCAATACTTCATTTTGAGCACGAACGTCATATCTCATAGTATTACGCTCCCATTGTTAGCTTTGGACAAACAACTTTCTTACTTCATAGATAGAACTACATCAGAAGTTATTGATTATTAACATCGACTTGTTTATTTTTAGAGCTCCATTCACTGGAAAGGGTCGGTTCCACCACTCTGGACGTGAAAAGATGGGTTATATCGCCCGACAGTTTTTAGCCGAGATTGGAATGTCACAATGGCGTAGCAGAGAATTCTGGGGCATGTTGTTGTTATTCCTGATATTTTTTTTCCTGCGATTCACGACTCATTATTTTGGACAGTGGTTATTCCTCAGTGCTCTTGGTATACCCATCAACAAGTAAGTCAAATTAACATATTGTTAAATCACAACCAATCAGAGCCCTCGATAGAAAGACTAAATAATTTGGCTGCGCTTGTTATTGGGTGCTATGATTGGATGTATATGCTAGCGTACAATCCAATCAAATCACTGTTCATATAAATATGAATATTTCATAAAGTAACTATTTAAGGATGTTCATAGTATTTTCTTTCTCATTTTAGATTTGATTTCCGTCCTTACACTGTAGACTTGAACTACCAGCCTACGTTACTACGAACCAGGGAAGAAATTGGAGTTGTGGTCCTTGGTCCTATGATGAATATATTGTTGTTTACGTTAATGGTCATTTTCGCCTGGATTTGTCCGAAAATATTTGGATTTTTTCCTGATTTGTTTTCGAAATTTGTTTTAACATTTGGTGTTTTGACGTTTTTGGATCCTCTGCTGATTTTAATAGTAGACTGTGCTATGTTGGTGAGTTTAATTTCAAATTATATTTCTTATTGTGAACTTGTCATCTCAGCTCAGTTGTAGAGAGTCCACATAGTTATTATTGTTTCATTCAGAGAGTTCATTAAGTAATTTAAAGACATATTGCCTCTATTTCTCCTATACACAATCTCATTCATAGAGTTCACGCATATTAATATTTAATTAGTATTTAAGATTGTCAATTCTGCAGACGTAGACTTGACTGTTTCTACCTCAAAGTATTAATATGGTCCCGCGAACTTCGTCTTATAGTTATTTTATTATCCAAACTCATTCAGGATTATTGTTGTTATTTCAGAGATTCTACGACCAATCTACAGAACCAATCGCAGATTTTGCTAAACTATGGTGGCATTTCAGTCGTTCTCAAGGTTCAGGGCTGGCTGGCGTATTTATTACCTTGTTTTTATACACGTTTGTTGGTCTCCTCTCCTCGTCTATACTCTATATGTACTTCTTAAGGTAAGAATAATGATATTTTATCTGTTCAGGCTTTTGATGTAAGAATTATACAATTTCTTGTAAGTCATGCAGGTTGGAGAGGTTGATTTGGAAACGTTTCTAGTCATATGTGCTTGAGGTTACATACATTAAATTCTCTCACAATTGAGATTAAAAGACTAGTGGATATTGTCAATCAAAAAAGGGAAGGCCTTGGCAACCTAATTTGAAACAGTTGAATGTAAAATTCGTTCTATTTGATTTAAAATTGGATTATATTGTAGGTTACATAACAATGGAAGAATGTTGGATATATTCTGGAGATTACACGGTAAAGAAGAGAATTTTTTCATCCCCTACGATCTAGAAATGTCCAATGAGGAGTTGGCGTATGTTTGTCACAAAGCCGAGATGTGGCGTGGCGAAGAGGGAGAGAGACGAAAAGTTGCTGTTTATGATTATATTTGGGAGGAGGAAGAGGTAGAGTCATTCATTCATTTATTCTTTCACTCTTTCATTCATTCATTTGTTCATTTATTTATTCATTTGTTCATTTATTTATTCATTCGTTCATTTATTTATTCATTCGTTCATTTATTTATTTGCTCAATGATTCATTCACCTGGGTGAAAAAATGACATATTAAAAAAAAGAGAGACAGGGAATAAGAATTTACTTACATTTGTGTTTTTACTTACTCATTCATTCATTCCTTCGTTAATTAATTCATTCATTCATTCATTCATTCTGTCTGTATAAATTGTATTATAGGTAGAAGAAAGTATATGGGATGAGAATGGAGTAGAGAAGTTAGAAAAGAAGGAAGGAAGAAAAGAGGTCACGACTCATGTATCCATACATACTCTACATCTTGATGGTCTGCGTGAACTTTATCGTCATTTCTTACGTTTACCTGATGGTGCTATCGTAGAGGTAACTAGAATTTATATTTATTACAGTGTATCCTAACCTTCCTTTCATTTTTTATTAAGTTTTATGTTAAATTTAACCACTTTAGTTAGGGTCTATAGACGGCCCTCTTGAATATTCGTCTGTTTGATGACAAGCCCTCTCCAGCACTGGGATTTTGTGAAGCAAACAAGAGATGTATTCCGAGAAGTATCAGACACTGAATTCACGTTTGAGAGGGTAGAAATTTGATTGGCTGGCGGTATCATCTATTTTTAGCCTACCATGTCTAAATATTGTATCTATTTTTAGGTATTTGGTGATGTTTCAATCCCAGGAATGGATAAAGATATGAAAACAGCATTAGAACAAGGCTCCAAAAATCTGGAAAATTTAATGGGCTCTCAACTTAGCATGTCCAAGGTAATATAACTTTAATGGTTTTAAGATTCTCTTCATCTTGGTCAGGTAGTGAAAGTGTAAAGAAGTCATCTTTCTTCAGTATTCCAAATGACCCAGCTGTAAATAGTTATGGATAATCTAGGGACGATTTATGTTAAGGTTTTATCCAAGGATCAGCTGATAGACCGGATGTTAGAGAAATTATTATCCTTTTACATAATATACTTATTTCTCTCTTTCATTGTTTTATATATTTAATATTATATTTCAGGTACGAGGAAGACAAACAGTTATAACAAGAGCTGGTTTTACACCTGGACAATCTAGTCCAACACCTAGTGAGACACCATCAACCAGTCCCTCCACTGTATCTTCAATTGAGAAGAAGAAAATCTTATAATTTATGACCTTGTTTCTCTGAAAATCTTTGGATTAATTTGAAGTCTGAATTTTAAAATGTATCATAAGATTTTGTTGTTACTGTTTTTTAAAAATGATCTTACAAGTATTTATGAATACAATCAAATCAAAATCTTATCTAATAGCAACTGGTCTTTAATTTCTGTCTGATTTCCATCTTCAATACCATTAGTCAAATTTTATTCATGTGAAGCTCCAGTGGTCCAGAAGGAACTACTATCTGATATATCAAACTTTCAGACTAACTGAGTGTTATAACAAAACACAAGACAATATTATGGAATATAACACACTTCTTTAATAAGGTTAATATTGTCTTGCGTGCTTCTATATGTCCTTCTAATCTTCTAACTGAGTGTTAACTTGTACATTCTAAAATGTTGCTATATTTTATAATAAGTGCAATTTTTTGTTAATGATATCTGTTTGTTATATTTTGTATAATTTTGTATAAGTTTCTATTGCCAATCTGTGATAATTTATAATTTTATAATCTGTGATATTCTGTGTCTGTTTTTCTGTGATATTACAAAATTTTTATTCCGTCCTTGTTTCAGATAATAAATTTGTACACTGATAGCCTAAATTGTGATAAACTGGTAGTTATTAATTGTGAATTATAAAGAGTTATTTCTACTGTTTATATATTACACTGTTAGACTATTTTAATTGACGTCACATGAACAGAATATTTGATAATTTCATGTAGAAAGTTGATTATATTATGTTAATTTTAAAAGAGCACATCAAAATTATATTTTTATACACCACACTTCTTATATTTTATTTATATTTTATTTATATTTTATTCAAATCAAAATTTATTGACTCGGGGCAATTCAGAAATATCGTAATTTACAATTTGTAAAAAATTTCATGAAATCTGATTGGTTTTTAAGATTACTGCAATAAAATCAACCAATCATAGCTTTTAGTATGATTATCTTAAGTTATATAGCCTCTATCATCCAGTCATATGATGAAAGATATCCTGGTTGTGGTAGACAGAAATCTGGGTGTCAGAGACTAAGTTATGATGTGATATTGTAATAAAAGAAACAATAAAAGTTTTTAAAGTGTGTTTATTTCTGTATATGTATTTAAAAATACTTCTTCGAACTTGTCTTGAAATGTAGACATGAGAATAAGTTCTACTTGTCTAACTTCAGTAGGAATGCAAACTGAAAATAGGTCAGCTGTCTGAAGATCTCTACTTGTCAAACTTCAGTAGGGACGCAGGCTGAAAATACGTCAGTTTTCTGAAGATCCCATTGCGTAAAACAACATGGTTCATGTTCTGTTTTAATATTTCTATACCACTCTACAATTGATGTATTGATCCCACCCTGTCTCTCTCCTTCTCTCTCCCCAACCCCCTGTGTCAATTAATTCATTATTAAAATGTTATTCTGTATTCAAAGTTCATGTCCAAACAGTATTATAGATGTATGGAAAATTGAGAAGTTATTTGTGGTCTTTAAATGAAAGGTAGCTAAAATCGAGTTACTTCCCTTCAATCAGTATTATGATTGCTATAGAATGTATGGCACTAATTGAAACAGTGTGACAATCTTTCAGGCTGATGTAGCCTGGTGTAGGAAGAGTTGAGATCTTCTAAAGGTAATCTATTACCCAGTTTTCTTGTCAAACCTTTGATCAAACAAGTGTCGAAGGTTTAATGGTTAATACTTGTGGCGTCTTCGGCCTAGCAAGTTTCTTTCATACATGATATTTTAAATGGCGTTTCTACTGGGCCATGGCTCTCCCCTATCGCCTGTGAGATGTCTTAATTTGAAATAAAAATTAAGCCCTCTAAATTCTCAAAATTCATCTCGGACCATTTCAAACCTGTTGGTCCTTGGGGGTCTATGGCAGACCCCCGGCTTCAAGATCCTTGGAAGAGACAACTCTCATATTTTGTCTCTCTCAGGCATTTTTCTAGATAGGGTACGATCCTGATTCCGTGTTAATATTTTGCTGTCTAACGCACAAGCTCGAAATCATATGCATGTTGAAAAGAGAAATAAAACAAAACATTTTTTATCATTTATAATATTTCATGCTTTTGTATATAAATTGAAAATCAAAAGAGAAACCATGAAAAGACGAGAATAGGACGGAATGGTACAAGTTAAGTTATAGTCGTAGTATAATACTATACATATATACATGGGGACCTAGAGATATACCAGACAGTATTGTCCATAAGCTGACAATATTTCAGCAAAAATAGAAATCTTGTGTTCAAATAGCATCCGCACCCGACAAAACTATCAAAATAATGATGGCTAAAGCTGTATGACCCCCATGACCAAATCATATGGCTATAATGCTATACAGAATAGTACATGTAGGTCCTTTAAACAAAGTATGAAGCCATAAAGGTTTGTAACCCAAAGTAAGTTGATTTCTGATGCCCCGAAAACAATAAGCATACAGTCTACATACAAAAACATTGCACAAAATATCACAAATACACATGAATTCTAGTAATAACTAGATCATTTTACACTTGAGTCTTTGGGTGTGGGAATGCTACGGATTTTCAACGCACCCGTCTTACTCGTTTTCCGCACAGTGATGCGTCTTGCCGCACAATAACGTCTAAATTTCATAGAGTCATTCTCAGAATGTTCATTTAAACTCGTCTTAGATTTCTTTGCATTTGGATTATAGAACGACCCCTTTCTCTTAGTTGCAACAGATTCCTTTGAAAGGGACAAACGTCGAGCGTGCTTCGCGTTCACGACTCGACGCAGACGACAGAAACGTTTAAAGTTTGAATTATGTACACTAGCACTAGTAAGACGTCTGTGTTTTTCAGGAACTGGTGTGGAACTAAACATACTCTTCCTTTTCCCGCCGTGAGACCGAAACTTGGAGACTAGGGTAGGGTGGTGGTTCCACTCTTTGGTCGTGTTGAGCTGTTCTGACGTCATGTTGGAGAGGTCTGACGTCATATTGGTTTGGTCTGACGTCATGTTGAGTTGGTCTGACGTCATGTTTCCGGATGTGACGTTCGGTGGTCTACAAGGAGAAAATGAGAAGTCAGTTGAACATCTCGGTTTTCCAAATAAAAGTCTTTTGGCCATGGGGTACACAAATGTTTTGGGGGTTTGTGAAGGACATTGTTCAATAATGGATAAGTCGGGGGTCACACAGGGACTGGCCGGGGATTCCTGTAGGGTACAGCTTAATTCTCTGTTGATCTTTGGTGTATGGACTTGACTGTATTCACTTATGCTTGAAGATGGTTCACATTGGCTCAAATTGGGCTCGGTTTGATCACCGTCAACTATGCTATGGAAGCTAAACGATAGACTGGTTTCATTTTCTTCCGAAATCTGCCCGGAGACACATTCGCTTTCGGACTCGTCCAAGCTGTAAAACTCTGGACAAGACTTATTGGAACCGTCTCTCGTGAATGTGGAACCATTCAAAACACATGACATGGTTCCAGCACGACTATTTTCAGTCTTGAACACATTGGAATTGGCAACAGAATCGAACGTAAAGGACAAACTTGCTTCGTTTTCTTCAGAAGTGCACTTGGAAACACTGGATACATTTGATTTGCTTTCTTTGAGCGACTCGTTCAAGCATTTTATGGGCAGGGCATGTTTAGTGCAATGAGTGCGTGATTCACTATTTGGGCGTGACGCAGTGCGTGACCCTGGCGTACAGGAGTCAATATGCGTGACACTCCTCGAGAGTGATGCTGTGGTGCAAGAGTCACTGTAATGTGTGATGAATGTGTCTCTATCTAAAGAGGTGCAAGTGTCAAAAGTGTCACACTGAAGTATAGTAGAGTGGTTATGAAAAGAGTCACTCACGTGTTGTGGTCGAGTTGCCATTCCAGAGGAACCACTAGGAGTCTTGGGTCTGACGGTTGAAGACAAGGCTTGGATAACTGCTAACTCCTCCGCCTTGGACGGATCCATCACATCTAAATCCACCTGAACTCGAGACCTCTCCAGTTCCACGGATTTGTTGAGCATGGCTGTCGTTTTAGCTAAAGTTTGTTGCATGCGACGTTGTAGTCGCTCACGTTTCGATTTCAAATCGTTGTCCTTTTTATCCAAGTGATAACTACGATCCCGTAAGACACAAATCTTTTTATGCACCGCCCCGTTTATCAGTTTCTGATATAACGCCATGTCTAACGTATCCGCACCGTTTTCAGAATGTCCGAGTAACGTGCGCACTTCCAAATCTAAGTCCTCGTTTGAACTACCATCGGGGTTGAAATCCACGGGCGAGGAAAGTTGAGGCGTTCCTTGAACATCCAGATCCTCCATGGTTAGTTTAGAATCCTTAGGAATAGCTGACAGTGTATTTCCAGAGTCACCGTTTACTCTCGGACGACTTTTAGAGTCCAAATGGTCTGAGACTTCTCGATTCAGCGAGTCTAAAGAACTGGTGACCTCGGGTGTGCTCTTGCTGAAATCCAAAAAGAAGGGGTAATCCCCACGGGATTGGCGTCGTCCATTTCTATGTTGTTCTGGTGTCGATTCCGAAGACAGGTGCTCGATTTCTTTCCATCGAGGAGATGATCTGTCTCCAAAAACTGGTCCGGAAGGAGGGACGCGGGAGACCGGAGCTACGATATTAGTTCTTGAGGACTTACTTTGATCTTTGGAGGAACTGGAGTCACTGGAGGTTCGAGACGTTCTTCCGTCAGTCTGTCGGATTTTCTCGGTAGCTTTTGGATGCAGACGATCTTCGGATTTTGCTGGCGTGGATGTCGTGTAGCTTCTTCGGCGATTTTCTTTGACGCCTGACGGTGGTCGTTGTCCGCGACTATCTGGTCTGGCTTGTGGACTCTCGTCGTTATTGGCAATGAATTCTTTATAGCTCGCTTCCAAACTTGTTCCACCGGATTTTCTTCTTTGAAGCAGCTCAAGTTTTTGACGGACGTTAAGTTGTTGTTCTTGGTCTTTGTTCTGTTTATTGGCAGACGATCTAACGAAGCCCATACTGGTAGCAGGACGCTGTACCGGGACGGATTCCGCACCCATCGGTTCCTTTCTGGTGTTCATGTGAGGCGGAGGATTTCTTTGAATAACAACATCAGCATCAGTTCTTGGTTTTCGCAGTTGATCAGCACCATCTTTGGACATCCTGGAATTCTTTTCATGAGGTGGAATTCGGGCTCTGGGAAGAGGAACATTGTGGTCTGGATTTCTCTCTGACAATGGTCTTGGGGGATCTTCATGCCGTTTCTTTGGTATTGGAATAATGGGGGATACTTTGTCCTGGGTGAAATACTGGTATCCAGGAGCAGGTTCTTCTGTTCGGGATTTCCTTAGATGTGGTGGTTCCACAGGCGTCTGGCGGCTAGCTGACATATTTCTATTGCGAATGATTTCTGCTTGACTCATCCGTCCTGGATTTCTATCCGTTCTGGAATCATCTACTGGTAATGTCTGGCTGAAATCATAAGGAGTTTTCCTACCCGTAGATGAGTTGAGACTCTGTTCGGCGTCTTTGGTAGTAGGTGATCCGTCCTCGACCTGCATTCTGGACGGAGGTCGCAAGCTGCGTTCCAGTTGATTCTGTATGGAATTGTAGTTCATGTTAATTAATTCAATGGCTGAACTGTTAGCTGACACACCTCTCGAACGAGGACGTGGTCTCTTTTCCGTTTCTCCTGTAGTCTGCGATTCCAGGTTAAAACTGTTGACGCTTTTCTGCTTATGCATTATCAGGTCTCTATTTTGTGGTGCCGAACTTTGGTCGGCTGAGTTTCTGAACATTGAATTATTTCCACTAGACCGACCATTCATTTGTGGTGAATTTTGAATTTGGAATTCTCTCTGTTGCTGGTGTTTGGTGTTGGTGCCTTGACTGCGGCGGAGCTGGTCGTCAGGTTGGAAGGAATGGGGGTGACCATTGGGGGCACCGTTCGACTGACCGTAGTCCTTTATAAGGTCTGGATGCTCTTGACGATACTGTAGACCTACTGCACTTCGTGGTCTCGGCTGCTGAAGATGTTTCGGTTCCATACGACGTTGTGGACCTTGATTCAAATTTAAATTTTCCCGGCTCATGGCGGCTATTGTACTTTTATTAAGTGTCCCTGGCTTCGTGTAGCCGCCATTATAATACTGTTGGTCGTTCATTAGGACTTGAGAGTGGTTTTTGTTCGACATTTTTTTATAAGATCGGTCCGTCTTTTATACTATTTGTGGTAATTTAAGCTTGGTATTTATTCATCCGTGAAAGATCTGTACTCCATTCCATTAGGTAGTCATTCATTCATCCACAATCAGGGAGTTATATTCCGCAAATCGAGCTGCGCACAGAACACTAATGGCATCCACTTGATTAGAGGTTCGGGTGATCTGGTTGTTTTTTGCGATAATATAATAAATTTGGCGAAATGGATTGATCAAACTTCGCTCTGGTGATTCACAAAAGAGACCATAAGAGGTTCATTGAAAATCTCTCGATAAACAACTTTTCTTTTCACAAATTACAGTTATTGATAGCGTCTTTTACTTCACTTTCCCATCAAACATTCATTCGGGCATTCACAGGTAGGTAATTATATTCTCGTCTGCTACCCTCTAGCTCCATACAATAGTTCACACCTGAAATGAGAGAAAAAATATTTGATTTACATAAATATACGAAGTGTTTTGAATAGCTTGATTGACATTGCTCGTCACGCTGTAACGTTCTTTATTGAATGCGTTGACTTTGATCACTCGAGTGTCCCGAGTGAGAGAAGATTAATAGAGTGTGAAGGGAGGTAATAAGTGATAAGCTGAGTGCCAAGGGAGATAATTAGGTCAATCAAGATAATCATAGTCTATTAGCGTGTGTAGTTATTAAAATAATTGAGAAAATCACTTCAGGATCGATTTCAACTTATAATATATAACAGTTTATCACGAAATGTTGTACCATAGGCTACGTCTCCGACACAGTTTGCCTTGTCCGTTATCCTTTTTTCTTCAGTGACATTCGAGGGGCCGTTAACGTCCATTGCCTGTAGCACAGGGGTCACGGTTTATTATATTAAAATATTCACCCGAAACGTAGAGTGATCTCTGCGCTAGGAATGAAGCTAGAGACAATGTTTTTCCGGCTGTTGTGGTACAATCTGTTTCAACTGGACACTATAGTAGGTCAAGAGACTTGAGAATCGAGTGATAAGGACTTGTTGACCTTTCTACACGACCAACTCCCTTTAAACAAACCTCTAAGATCGACCTAATTAGTCACTTACACCCATATGGTCAATCCTTTATTACTATTGTCATTGCTTTTACCATGTCCAGTTGTCCACTATTCTCCTTTGTTACAACGCTTCGTCAATTTACACTGCAGCACCATTCAATCTAATGCATAGGTCCGTTTTTGACCCTTATTTTGTCCATTATTTTCCATTCAAGTTCTGTTGATACAACGTTTCGTCAATTTACACTGTAGTACAGTTCCATTTGATATTTGTGACCCCACACACCAAAATTCAGCACGGCCATTATGTGGAGGGTGGGTGTGTGAGTATGTCGCAGAATTGTCAAGGGGGCTCAAAGATTTCTCTTCCCTATGAAAGGGGATGAAAAGGTCCGGCCAGCCCTATCTCTGCCCCACCCCACCACACTAGAAACCCCCCTGATATGGTGCTATTGATTAAGCTATATTTGTCTGTTAATGAAATAAAATTGTTATAGATTAATATCAGCATCTCAGTAGAGTACCTAGTGTATTGATCTAAAGTGAATTGAAAGCACTGGCCTAGATAATACCAGTGCACCATTGTCTGTCAATTCACAGGAGATTTCAACCCAACCTTCCCAGTTGTCAGCTCTTGTGACAAGCAGAAAAGATTGCATGCTTCATTAGCTACATAATTAATAATTAGTTAATATCAATCGAAACTGTTAACACATTGGTATTTATAAATAAACTCTAAACAATGCAACGTATACCAGAGTGTTTCGATTTAAAACGACTGGGTGCAATTAGGCGTACCCTTTGTGCACAAAAATCAAAAGTGAAAAGATGAGAGGTTATAAGTGTTAAATGGAGTCTGCGGGTGTGTTTAAGGGGAGGGGCGTTTTTTTGTACTCTTATAAGCGACTGAATGATCCTTGTCTAAATTGAAACAAGTCCAAACCAACGAGTTAATTGTAGATGGGTTGGGTCATATAAAACGTGGTGGTATATTAAGAATTAAAGTATATAACGTATTGATAATATTAATCTCTGACCAGGGATTATCACACAAATATAATAGACTATAAAGTATTAATATTAATCAGATATATATAGTTATTAATACCTTGTCAGCTTTTTTCATACTTAGTCGTCAACAGTAAAGTTCTTCAAATCTATGTATTTTTCACCCCCTCTCAATTATGCATAGATAGACGTTGACAGGTCTCAATTTCATTATATGTTAAATACGTCTATATGATGTTATAAGTACTGTCTCTGAAGGTATATTAGGAAGCCAGGATTAGATAACTCTCTGAATGTGAATAAATCAACAAAAACTCTCATAAAAATAAACTTGGTATGAACTATACTGTTTAGAGGTTTCTGATTTGACAATCTTTGCCAGGCATGTTTGACGTGAGTAGCATAATCATTGCTCATAATATGATATAATATGAACGGCCCCTTTAAGATCTATTTAACAGTTATCCAACAATAACTAGGTTTAAATAAACTGATTATATTGTACTCGTATTGAAAGGTCTATACAAATTATTATACTTATAAAAATTAAATATTTATAGTTGAACAATATAGACAGTTATTTTCAAACTACTCGACGTGGTATAATGTCAATACACTGCATTATAATCTATATATCACTGTAATAAATAACCCCTATTATAAACCTTTTTATTATCACAAGTTATTGGGTCATTCCAGTTTTTATAAATACACTCTATCTAAACAGGTTCGATATGGCCCTTTATTAAACAGGGTTCAAAGTAGAAGTGTGTATTTAATCTTTATATTTATGTAATATCTATACAGTAGAGTTAAAAACTATACAGAATGTTGAAAAAAAAAACCCATAAAAAAGAATTTAAACAAAGATCTGTTGGTATCGATGAAAAATTTTACCAAAAACTAACAAACAATAGTAACAAAACACAGAAATATTTCAAATATTTAAGTTAAGTTATGACAAATATTGAAAATCTGTTGTCATGGTTACATAAATAACCAATATTTGACAACTGATATGGCCCTGTACTATCTTCACGAATTATAGAAATACACAAACTTAATATCTAGTCTCTATGTATAGCACACCTCTAGCTCTTGCTACAGTAACCCAAAGGGTTGGGGGCGTCAGCCGTAGAAGGGCCAACGTTTGTCATCAGCCAGTAGTGATTTTGAGCAACGAGATATCCAATTTGCATGCATTGCAAAAAGGGCCAAATGTTGATACTTTAATAACAGTACCATACTGGAAGCATTGGTGGGGCTAACTAGGGTGGGTGGGGATACTTCAATCTGACGGTAGTGACTAATTAACCACTATCCCCGGGGGCGTGACGAGGTTCTATAGACCTGTCAATCAATTAAGGTAGAATAAATAAAGCAATATTGATGTCAATATTCAGCTATTGTGACATTTGTAGAGGCGATTGATTTTTATATTCGCTTCATCACCACTCACTACATTAGGTGGCTGAAAAAACGTTCCAAAATATCATTATTAGTGAATCTATGAGATCAGGCCGTAGCCAGACTTGTTTGTTCGGAGGGGCAAGTAATATCCAGAGGTGCAATGTTGTTTGGTGCTTAGTTGTGGTATTGAAATTGCTTAGCAGTGGGCAATAAATAAAACAGATTTCACGTCGTACTTTTCATCCCACCCTAGCTAGTTGATTGCCGACCACAGATGTGACAAACAAGTTAATGAATTTTTTATCTTCTGATCAAAATTCGATATTTTATTGTATCAGCTGGGGTTTAGTTAGATTAATAAACAATTTCATTATACTTTTATATACATGGCAAGAACCATAACTCTGTTTTTATTTCATTTATCAAGGGAGATGACTATGTTGAACTCAATTTATCAAGGGAGATGACTATGTTGAACTCAATTTATCAAGGGAGATGACTATGTTGAACTCAATTTATCAAGGGAGATGACTATGTTGAACTCAATTTATCAAGGGAGGTAACTTTCCGGATTTAATTTTCAAGGCAGGTAACCAGCTCTTTGTTTAATTTAACGGGGGTTACAGCATCGTCCATGTCGAATGCAACTGGGGTTTATTTTTGATATTTAAACCGTTCGATTCATTGTTTATTATTGAAAGAGACATCGTCAGACGACAAACTATTGACTGTCAAACATTAAACTTGATCCGCCATTGTTTTCTACCCAAATTGATTCTTCTCCTCTCAATCAGATTCCAATTGTCGTCTGTTAGATTTTTAAATATTTGATCAGATCTCTCAGTTTATAGTCACGGACATTATGTCGTCTGATAGCCCCCTTCTCCCGTCCCCTCATCACTTTCTTTGATAGAAGATATTGGTAACAGACGAACAATACTTTAATTTCGAAGTATCTATTACTTTCAGAAAACGTTTTTAAACTTGTAAAAGTCCCCTCCCCTCAATATTCTAAAAACAATTTAGAGTGTGAAGAATGACAAAAACTGTAGTAAAAATTTCTCACGACTCAGATCTCGAGTAAATAGTACATTATTTATAAAAAACACGATCGTCATTGTCAGTTCGTATTATTCACTTGATTTATTAATTTACAGTGGAGTGGTTATACAGGGGTTAATTGGTCAGCCCTTTATTTCTCTCGAAATGGGCGCTCGGATGTCCGAATTCATTTTGACTTTCTTTTTTTTTGAAACAAAATAACTAATCCTAAAGTAGTCAGTTTCCTTTAAATTAGCACAAAATATTTTTTTCGGGCTTTTATGGCTTCTGGGTTCCCAAGACCCATTGGTATCGTTGTGATGTATCAGATCGTTGCCCCTTTTTTAATGACTTATATTCTCACGATGACCAGGGTTAACTGACTAGTAAACAAACCATAAAACATAGAGCAAGGTGTAATAGGAAACAGGAAACCTAAAAACAATCGACATTAAACAGTGATATAGATCACTAGACTGATAGTACATTGTAATATAATATACCAGCGTATCTTTGATGTAGATAAATAGTTTTTTTTTTCAAAATTCCGGTAGATAAGAGGGGGTGGGGGGAATCGATAGGAGTCGATGGTAAACTTGGTACAATTCAAGGTATTAAACTGATATATCTGTCTGTCGTAGATATGGGGGTGGCATTTGATAGATGGGATGGGTTTACAATTTTGACCCCCCCCCCCCCCACACACACACACCCTTCGGAAGAAGAGAAAGGGTAGGGGTAGAATACATGTAAATGTTTCAACCATTGAGATTTTCACACGATCAAAATAGAGAAAGGTTACTATGACTCTTCTACTTGTTGAACTTTGTGAAACATTTTAAAATAACGACATGTTAGTCAGGATGATTAACGAATCGGCTCTGTAAGTTTTAAACCATCACAGTTAACAACAAACATCCATTGAACAAAAACAGCAAAACCTTGTAACCAGATTAACGAGAGTCAACCTAGAGATATGGGGGAACGTTGACAATGTCATAGTTAACGAGATTACTTGTAGTTCAAATTTAGATTAGATAACTTCGACTTAAATTCTTAACAACATAGTCATTTCATTTTACTTTTCACTGTAACACTTTCAAATAAATATAGGAAATACTACGACCTTTTGATCAAGCTAATTCAAGTGGTATTGGATAAGGTGTTATAAAAGCACTGGCGTAGGTCGCAAGTAGAGACTATGGATTTCAGCATCAGTATACATCAATTTGATAAGCAATTACTTACTTCTGGAGAGATTTACAAGATAAACAAATAATCATGGGTGATAAAGAAGCACTGGTCAAGGTCATGAGAAAACGATATTAAACATGGAGTTGAATTTTTCGTAGGACTTTATTTGCAAATTGACAATGAAGTTTTACACCCTAAATAGCAAATGGAGTTGTCTATGAAGACACAAACCGTACTGTATTATATTTCTATTTGATTTGTTTATCTCTGTATAAAATAGCTCAGATAATTATTAGTAAATAAAAAAAGGGGCAGGTGCGTGCAGCTCTATTTCTGTCTATATAGGTGTCACCTCACCAAGATCGTTATCAACAAAATACATGTACATACCTTATCGTTAGACTCTAACCGTTTCCTGTCTTTATCCTTTGTTTGAATTTCAAAATAACAACGGTTCGATAGATTGCACTGCAATCTGAATGTATTGATGAAGGAGTGTGACTATTTCGTTCAATTGTTCGTATACTATATAATTCCGTATTCCTAGTTGGTGTATAGATCTTTATAAACTCCTTAATTCAAACTTCCATATACGTTTCAATATTCCGATCTTCTCCGTTGGTATAAAGTTGCAACTGGTCCGATTTGATTAACAAACAATAGTTTCAAGGTCCGACTAACGTATACTACCAGTCCGATTACAATATGCCAATCTTTAATTCGATCTGTGATCACTGCGTTAATCCGGGCTGGTATGGTATTATGATATACTTATTACATGTCGAGACAAGTCAAAAGATATATTGAATTTATCTATTGAATTTATATTATCTCTTACCAAAACACACTAAGAGTATATCAGTGTTTTTCTTCAATATACTATACGCGTCTAACAATCGCGCACCTTGCGATTTGTGACCTGGTTTTTTAAAATCTTAAAATGTACACAGAACAGACACAGTTGATTTGAGATCGAGTGAATAAAGTTTAAACTTTAGAAATTGTCATTGTTACTCACTCACGACATGTGTTTGGTGGACTGTAACATCTCTTTGACGAGTCTCTTTCTACAGGTGACGTTCAATGATTGGCAGATCAAAAACATAAAGGTAACGGTCGAAAGCTAACGCCTGGAAATAACGACTGGTTGATAGAGTCTTTATCAATTAGTATTGTTTAATTAACTCTCGGTCATCTAGTGTTAACAATTTATAACAAAGGAACTGGATTAAGATTTTGTCGTATTTTATCTGTATTTAATTCCAGTGACCTGCTGACGAAGTCTACTATTAATTACTATTGTTGTGCTGTGTTTTTTTATCCGATTAACTAGTCTGAAAACGTCGCGGAATTTCGCCTATTTATAACATTGTCATTTGGGATTTGTTCATTAAGATTAGACGAGACTTGAATATATGGGGTTTAGAAATATTAAAACTGGGTTTAGGCATCTTAAATTTTGTAGGCGGAGTGGTGGTGGGGGGAGGGGGGGGGGGTGTGATACTTCTCAGGGGTGCGTCGTGTATCTGTATAAACCGACTGTAGACCTACTATACAGTGCGTCTAGTTTGTATCAATTATAACAGACAAACAAGAGACAGAGTGAGTTAAAGACATTTTAAAATAAACCACATTACGTGATGTTAGTTAGCTAGGACCATTTTCTCCCAAGTTAAAGCGACAGTCTCAGAAATACGATCTAAAAATAAACACTACACGACCTTTAAGGCTTGGAAAATGAAGTTTTAGGGGTAATAATGGCCCCTCCCCCACAAAAAAGATGAAGGGGCATGAACATCCCTAGCTAGTTTTACCTTCTGCAAATACCTGCATCACCGTCATGAACAATGAATTTAGGCTAATATGTATGCAGAGATGATAGACCGTTACAACTTAGAAACAGAAAGTGACCCTAGGGATACTATTTTAAGGTTAATTTATTGCCCCTTCATAAGAATAGGGGGGCAATTTATATCAAGATTTATCAAGGAGTTTAGTAAATTTTTAAACGTTCTAAAGAGGGCTGTAATTTGGGTTAATTATTCTGTAAAATCACTTACTTTTATTAGACCTACATTTATTATAGAGAAAACAAATATACAAATCACCTTTTCACTACCTGAATATATACTTAAAAATTGATATTGAAAACAGACCATTGAGTGCAACAGTATCTAGGACAGGGCATGCTTATTCTTCAATATCAAAGCATAGGCGGTTAACATTTTGAGAAAAAGGCACCTCTTTCTGTATTTCTCTATGATTATTCCCTAAAGATTACTTTATACTCCAAACAATTACTAAACTTAATTTCTTACACGTTTAAGTTATTTGGATACGCTTAATTGTAGTAGTTTTGGTTTAGTTCCTGAAGAGTTACTTCCCATTGAAAATGACCCCATTTTGTTCGAACTTTGACCTTTGACACATATCCCAGCATTCATTGCAGCCAATATGGCGGCATTCAGTTGAAAGAAATTAATTTTAGAAAGTTGAATCCACGTTTTATGATTAATTTGATATTTATTTATTCCAAAACTTCACAGAATGACTTCTCTCCATTTTGTCGTTCAGCCATTACCTGGAACAGACGATCAACTAAACGACAGGTGAGAATTTTTAGCTAAACTCCGGCGGATGAAGCAAAATATTTTCTGGTTTCTTTCCTGCGTGCTTTGAGATAGAGAAATAATTTAGAGGTACGGAAACGTCCATGGATTAAGACGAAGGATCCTTACTGTATGGACTAGTTTCAACACCTCTTGCTCTTTCAGTCATCAAGGGCCTTTCCTCTCTCCTGGTGAGTCAGACTGGCTGGACTTCAGTCTGGAGTGGAAGTTCGCATTATTGCATATTGATTATGATTATGCATTCAATAGTAGGCCTATACCAACCCCATACAGTTGAGGTGTCGTAAGCAAGTTAAAGTAATTCTGTTATGGATTCCTTCATATTCTAAAACTCTAACCCTGTGCCAGTGCCTTTTATTGAATAGTAACTTGTTACTATATATCATAGTTATCATATATTATATAGCCTGATAGTGATATAAATAAAAACTGAGTGTAGGGTGTTATAAGAGATACTCTCCAATAGAAGCACTGGCATAGCTAGATTAGTGTTAATTAACCAAGTCCAGTCTTATCAATCCAGGAAACCCTAGTGATGGATCTTAAAGAAAGACTCAAAAAGAATGTCAAGAAGTATAATGAAGACATATACTAAGTCTTAAGAACAGGAAATCTTTTAGGGGGATGGGGTATGCACAAACACAGTGACACATAGACCAATTTAATTATCTTATCTATTTTGTGGGTATGATGTTTGTAGGTTACGGGAAGTGGCTGAGAAGTTTAGTCGTCATGGTTTTACCTCACCATCTACTCTCTCTAGTTTAAAAAATGTAAACATTGTTCAATGTGTTATAGGATCAGGATTTATTGCTCTCTTATTGGAGGTGAGAAAAAACCTAGATACTCTTAAAGCCATAACTTTATTTTCAAATTCATTTTACAGACAAATCAAACACATTTTTAAATTGACCAAATTCATTTTGTTTATGACTTTCCCAATCAACATAATGATATGAATCTGAATGCGTATTTAATTGTAGGATGGAAGAGTTTGTAGAGTTCCGTTTTCTGTCAACAATGAACGATTGGATTTACATAAATCAACAGAGACCAAAACGTAAGTACTGATACATCATTGTTTAAACCAGGTCCTATATTCAATAAAAAACATTGAGTCTTTAGTTATTTTATACAAATTTCTGTGTCAATTGACGAACAATGTTTTTTAAAATTTGCTGATACACAGGTTTGAAAATCACGTGATGTTTATTTTCTACAACTAACTGACATTTCAATTTCTTGGCAGCTGTTTCATATTGCCTGTAACACTTATAATTTCTGTATTTATTTCAGTAAACCGACTAAGCCAGACAAGACAGAACGTACTACAGCTAGTAGTAATAATAACAGTGATAGTGGTACTCTGGTGGTAGAAAATCCCTTAGTACTGGTCCCTGGTAATCTAGGGGCAACCAGCAACCCTCCAACTTCTACAGGGTAAGGAGAGCCACTTAGATTTCTAGAGCTGGCTTGATTTTATTTCATATTATTTTAGAGCTCAAAACATGTTTCTAAATATCTGTTTTAATCTACCATTTAAATCATATCTAGATAGTTAATTTGCTAATATTATTTCAATAGAATATCAGATGGAGTACAGGGGGAGACGTTAGACAAATATTATGATAATAATAGGTTGTGTTTTAATTTTGACTGTTGTATTACAGGAGATGGGGGACAGGGGGAGGAAATACACCCACCACCAGAACAACTAGTCAACAGAGTTATAGTAGAATGCAACGTACAGGTACTCTCCATGTTGGCCGAGGTCGCAGTAGGGTAATAGTTGGCTCTCGTCTTGTACCAGCCTCTAACGTACCTGAGGACCTCATAAGCCAGGTAAGTGCTGGAGATATTTACAGGCTGTTTCAAGCTTTATATTTGAAATCATTCTGTGCCTAAACAATTTGTCAATGCAAGATATGGCCAAAGAAAAGTCTTGAGTCCAATTTGCTTCGCTAATGAATACAAGTCCATGGCTAGCAAGTGTTTATTGAAATAAAGGAATATTTTCAGAGGATGATCTACTGTGTTGTCTGTAAATGGATTGTGTATTTACAAGTTCTTTATGTTCATTGTTTCAGTGTCAAGTTGTTCTACAAGGAAAATCAAGAAACATGATTATCAGAGAATTACAGAGAACAGTAAGATTTCTTATTACAGAATCTCTCCACCCCTAAATCTAGACCCCACAATATCCAGACCCCAGAATATCTAGATCCCAGATTAAACAAAGAAAAATGTGGCAGACAAGACGAAAAAAAAATACTTCGTTGACTGACAAACCTTTGCCTCATGTTTCAGAATTCCCAATCTATCTAGACCTCTTTAATTATCAAATGTATTTTTAATTTTTGTCCTGTATTTCAGAATCTAGATGTAAACATGGCGGTAAATAATCTGCTGTCACGAGATGATGAGGGTGATGATAATGATGAAGACTCTCAGGATTCCTATATGCCAGATGATCTGATATCTCTACTAGACCCAGACCACGGAGTAATCATAGAATCAGACGCCATGTTCCAGGAGGACGTCTTCGGATATTCTTCCTTACGCAGTCGTGGTTCTGGTACTCGCTCTAGATTAGGTAAGAATAAGAATTAGCTTATGGTCGGAGGGCTGATATAGCATTTAGTCATTAAGTGAGGCCCACATTGTGCATATTATCGAAAAATAGTCAACTAATGCCCCTGTCCTGGCAAAATTTCCCACATTGCACACTGCTTTGAATATATGCCACAAAGAAGACCAAAAACACCAGAACTCCCTCCACTGATAATCTCTATATTTTTTTTTGATGTTAATCTACAGGAGAGAGAGATAGAGATGTAGACCGAGATAGAGAACGTGATTCTATATTCCGTATTCGAGACAGACGTCGTCTAGAACAGACGTTTACAGACGGTAATATTAAAAATATCGACCGAGACAAGGCGGACAATCTAAGTAGCGACAATAAAAAAGCGACCAATCCTAGTCCTAGTCCGGTCAGTTTTTACGAAGATCTTCAATGGTGGACTGAAAAGGTACGAATTTACGAATATTAATTAGAGAGATACTACCTGTCAGAATGCACCTAAAACTTCTCAACATTGGTCAATAAGAGTTTATATTAATCAGTGGACTTATTCCCCTAATTATTTAGCTGTCATTGTATTTCTAGGAAGGAGACAGTATAAAGTTTAACCATATAGCTGCTATGTATTCAGACCTAGTAGCCGTTGGTCAGAATGGTCAGTTATATAGCTGGAGATGGACAGAAGCTGACCCCTTTAAATCGGGAGAGGTAAGTTTCAGTAGTTAAAAAAAACTTCTAGCTGTGGCTCTGTAATCTTTGAGTGCCAACCCTAAATTGGGGGATATGAGCTCCATTACACCAATAAGGTATATAGCAGGCATTTTGAGAGCACCTGTTTAGAGTCAGACATAAACGTCTAAATTATTTTCCCTGTTTTGTTTCATTTTAGAATTCGACAATTCGCCATCCTAAATCTGGAGTATTAAACTTATTACAAGAAAAGATAATAGGTATATCAGCTTGTAATGTTCGTGCTTCTGTTTTTACTGAATCGGGAAAGGTAAGTTCGAATGATTTTATTTTAAACAGACTCGACCACATCAGAAATGAAGTACCTAATTGGACTAATCAGTTAGATCAGAAAAAGGTGCTTCGAGTTTTAAAATGGAATACGATCTTTAGGTATTTCTAAAAAGATTTCTCGAAAGATCTTTTGAAAGTATGAATTAGATATGAAATATTTTGGAAAATTGAGGTTGCCAAGGTAACGATCTAGAATAATTTTCAGGTGGCAACTTGGTTGGATGAGAGTTTAAGTTTAGTATCTCAGAAACTAGAACATCCAGCTCAGCTCTTCCCAGAATTCCAAACTGACAAGATTGTCTCCCTTCATACTAGTACGCTGTATACCTGCGCTAGGTTGGAAAGTGGTGCCCTCTATTGGTGGTGAGTATTGTATAAAACTGCTAATGATTTTACTCTCTATCGTAAGGTCAAAATAAAACTTGCATCAGAAAAAAATGAAAATCTTTTACGCTTTCATCAGCTGGGTATCGAGAAACATTAAGTTGGACGTAATCATGCAAATTCTATAAATCTCAAAAATTTACTAGTCTATATCTTAGTTTATTAATCCTAACTTGTTTTTATCTCAGGGGTGTGATGCCGTTTGCTCAGCGTAAGAAAATGTTGGAGAAAATGAAATCTAAGAAAAAGAAGACAAAAGATTCAGCGTCTGGTAGTTCTAATACTGAGATAGTGGCTGGCTCTCTGGTTAGTATTTATTTACATAACTGAAAACATCTAGTCGTTCGAAAGGGACAATAAACCGAGGTCACGTGTACTACAGGCTGTTAACATTAAAGTTCCGAGACAGCTGCCAGTTAAAAAAGGGAAGGCTAATGTCACTGTCCTGGCAAAAATTCCTGTCTTTATTAGCCCAAATAAGATGCAGGATGTCGTTTTTCATTTCATTTCATTCATCATTAATGTCTAATTACAGGTGTGTCTACGCAGTGCCCCAATCTATTTAGTAGGTAATCTAGGGTTTACAACAGTAGATGGTATACCTAAAATAGGAGAACTCATGTCTTGTGCTTGGTCTTTAGCTGATACTTGTAGATTTAAAATACGTAAACCTATCAGGTAAGAATTAAAGTTTATATTCATCAGATCTCTGTGAGTCTTGCAATTCCACTAAGAACCAACTGCGCTATAGAACCCATGTTTCTTGTCTTTAGTTTTTTGTCATAATTTGTTATTTTATCTATTACAGTGAGATGAAAGCAGTAGAGAAATCTGAAGGCACTGGCAGTGGCAGTAGTATTGACAGTAAAATAGAGATGCCCCCACCTTCACCTGAAGGCTCTATTAGCAGTGCTCACAGCTCAGCTTCTATGACTACCCCAATATCTCATAGTAAGTCACATGTTCGTGATCTATCCTCATTTGTTAACTCGCTGTCCAGCGCACGATTTTATATTCCTAACCTCTGTCAACTTGAATTCGGGCTTCAAAATCTTTCATTAGAAGAATGATGCTGCCCTGGCAAAAGTTCCTGTCTTGTCCATTTTGTTTTAGCCCAATCAGGTGGAGAAAAGCAGTACGAAACTATATTCCAGTTTTATCTCTTGACTTTTTCCTCCAGAACGTAAGAAAACCCAGACACCAACAAAAGAGGAGAGTGAAAAAAGAGAAGAAGAATCGTGGCCGTTAAAAAATGTTGTGTTTTTAGAAGATACTCAATTGAAAACTATTCCTGTTGCTAGAGTTCTCAAGGTAGTCTTGATTTCTAACTTCCTTTTTAAAACTAAATACCACACTATTGCAGATTACATCTTTAAAACTCTCATATAACTGAGTTGTGACTTGTATTTGTGACTTATGACCACCTTAGGACACCTTAATGATATTTATTTGTATTTTTAGGTGGATGGTTCGTGCGTAGCTGTAAGTTTTAATAGTAAAACAGATTTTACCACCCCTAGTAAAGAAGATACAGCAAGTTTACTGACAGATTGTCGTCTGCTACGAAAAGACGAGTTACAGGTAAGATTTCAATTCTTTGACCATTACAAAACTTAATTTGATAGTTTCGTTTCTGCTCTCAATCAACTGACACAGAAACATATATATAACATGTAACAATCTTTTGTTTAAGTTGGTGAAGGGAGTGAACTCTCCGAGAGTACCAGATTTTTTCCAGAAGGTTCCGAAGAAAGTGAATGTAATAGAGAATGGTACGATATTATCAGTGGCCATTGATTGTGAAGGTACGTACTTTAGCCACTTCTTAACAAGGGTGGCATTTGATTGGTCAATTCTGTACATTTCAGTTTCATGCAATCAACCAGACGTGCATTCAAACAAGTTGGAACACAGTTCGGAATGCGTTCCATATGTGGCAATAAATAGTAGGTGGAGACGGAATTTGAAACCGCGGAGAATATATTTTGAATATGACCTACTCCGCTTCCATATTGAGCACCAGTGAGAATTGTATTTTGAATATTTGTAGGTATACATATAATAGCTAGAAGTGGTATGAGATTAAGCTATATAATCTATAACTTATCAACAGGGAAAATAGAACAGGACTGTGCTTTTCCTACCAATATACCATCTTTCTTAGGCTCTAATCCATCAGATATATCATTACATCATAGTGGAGAGGTAAGAATTTAATAGAATGGAGTTTTATGTCCTACTTTTCTGCATTTAATTAGGCTAATGAAGACGGGCAACGTCATGTAATGGGAAATTTTGCCAGGACAGTGGTATTAACCTGCTCTATTTCTATTTCCAACTGTCGAGGGATCTTTAACACACAGGGCCTTGGTTTATGGTCTCATCCAAACGACTGGACGCTTTGTCTTACCAGCATCACCGAGAAAGGGAAAAGGGTTGAAAATTCGAAGGATGTATTGTTTTGACCTATGCTGGGATTGAACCAGTGGAGAGCACACTGTCTAAAAGAGTCTTGTAATTTCAGGAATCATTGGTACCAGTAAGAGATGGAAATGGTGCTATATATCCTATGACTAAAGACTGTATTGATGGTATAAGAGATCCACTATGGTTCAATCTACCACCAGTAACATCTCTCAATATTAAAATACAATGTTTAAATAATGTATCTAATAATCTGAAGAACAAGGCTGCTGTTATAGTCATGGCTGTCAAGGTTTGTCTTGTCTGATTCTCTTCAACATAACTTGCTGATGGAAAATTTAAAAAGCATAGCGTACAACGACAATACCACCACATGATAATCTGCATATTAATCAAAGATATTAATGTGTTTTACTGATTTATTCAAGATAAATTAGGCATAACAGAAGCGTTTTTCACCCACTTACAACATACAAAAATCTTCAACCTCGACCCCCATTAGACGTGGCCCCCACCACGGCCATTGAACTTTCTTTGGCAATTCCAAATATGAACAGTGGTCTATTAGTAGGGTTGGAGAATTGAAATTCTGCTCATCCATGTAATACATATAAATGTTTACAGCCAAAATAAAATTTACTCGTTTGTATTCCAGCATCAGAATTTAATGCCGTATATTTTACGCTGTGATCTAGAACGAGTTAAATCGTTGATTAGTGGAATAGAATTAGATCCCACCTCATCAACCAATCAGAAACTAGTAAAAGATATTCTAGCTGAACGTTGTGATGGTAACCGTAATATAATACATATGACTGTAGCTATGTGTGTCCCTACTTCTAATAAAGATTACGATTCTGGTAAGTATCAATACTTTGTGCTGATTCTTTTATTTCCTGTTTGATTTGAAACATGTCTAGTCGTCTAGACGGGACAATAAATCATTGCCATGTGAGCTACAGTTTGATAATCTTGAAGATCTATATTGTTATTCAAACAAAAAAGGGTAGACATCATATTGTTGTAGCAAAACTTCCTTCAGTGAATACTTCGTTGCTTTGGGTTAAAAGTTGCTGTCCTATAAGCTTTTAATTGGAAATTAAATGGGTATGTTTGTACTATTAATACGTGGCAAAAATTTCCTGCATTGCCCACTCAGCGCATTGATAATAAATATCTTATCTATACAGATACGTCTTCAACATCTACCTTCTCCTCAACACTTGAGGCTATCAACATGGATGCTTTGTCTTGTGGACGTGATTCAGGCAGTCGCAGGTACGTTTTAAATCTTTTACAATTTTTATTAGTTATTTTATAGCTGTCTCTATCAGAAGATATTATATATCTTTCATTGTATCTGTCAATTCTGATTGAATGATTAGATTGTTTACAAACTGAGAGATATCCTCTATAATACACTGTACAATATCATGTGAAATATAATAACATGAGAATATATGGTGTATGGCCTGTTATATATTACAGTATGAGTGTAAGAGAGTTGATAAGACGAGCGTCTGCCGCTAACCGTGAAGCTAGAGAACAGGCTGGAGACGATAGTGGTTTGATTCCAGCAGCTTCTTGGTCACCTGACCCTCCTTCTTACGATTCCATCAGACCAGGTAAGATTTTACTGACTTGAAGCTGAAAATATCAATATACTGGGTATTATGAGGCCCTCTCTCGGAAGCACTGTTAACATCTGCTTCTAGATGGTGATATCGAAGACTATGTAATTGTAAAACCACTATCCATTTTATACTTTATAGGAGATACTGAACGACCAAGTCTACTGAGACCATCATCCAGTCCTGCGTTGAGTTGTTTAAATCTACAACCAGAGTTATCTAACTTGTGTTTGCCGCCAGTTAAGTTGGATGAAAAGGAACGAAGGAAGAACGCTGTTGAAATATTAAGAGTTTTATGTGAAAGTTCTGTTCTACAACCACATCTTGAAGAACTCCTTACTGCCAAGTACGTACCTTTTGACCAGTTATACTTAAATTAACGGACAGATATTTAGGATGTACAGTCAGACATGACTGGTAAATACAGACAAACCAATAACCCTGGTCTCCATTTCTAATCTTACTTTCAATAAGTGTTTCACATCAGTTTCTCATCAATTCCAATTCCAATTTTCAGTAAGACGTCTGTGGTTCCTGCAATTCCACAAATACTAAGTGCTCGATGACATCACTATTACAAAATCTGCTTATATCATAATATAATGCCTCATAAATTGCTTAGTTTAAGTGGAATTGCAAAATCCACAGAGCCATATAGAAGCAAAGACAGTTTGTGTCGTTATTTAACCTGTTTTTTTTTTCACAGGAATGCTGAAGGCTGTACGCCGTTTATGCAGGCTGTCTGTGGTAGAGCCTATTCTGCTGGTATAATAATAATGGATGGTGTAAAGAAAGTTTGTAATAAAACAGGTTCGACTGGTGATAGTAATAACTCTGTCTTAATGAAGATGTTATATCCCAGTGGATCTAGTCTAGACAACTCTCCCCTACAAGTTATCTGCTGTAATGATACGTGTAGCTTCACCTGGACTGGAGCTGAACATATCAATCAGGTAGGAACTTAAAATACAGATCAAATCCAACGATCGTTATTAAACTTATTGACAAGCATTCAACAATTAAACTTTACTTATATCAAATGACCCTGAACAACAGATGCATAACAATTTAGTCAGATCATGGATACAGTAATCAGTTAAGAATTCAGTCTAATTGAAATACAGCTCTAGATATTTTGTTTCATTCATTCGAAGGTATTGTCAAGAGTTTTTCTATCAGAGACACTAATGTAACCTATTTGGTGAGCCTATTTGTATTTATATTATAGGATATATTTGAATGTAGAACATGTGGTCTAACAGGAACTCTGTGTTGTTGTACAGAATGTGCTAAAGTTTGTCATAAAGGACATGACTGCAAGTAAGTATCGTGTTCATCAATATTAAAAAATGCACATGGCGTTCGAAAGTCAGTATTGTTACGGATTGAAGGAGGTATTCTAAATTTTTATGACGTCACTAAAGCTTGGCACCCTTCACAATAGTAGAGTCATGAAAGGCCTATTTTTAGTGGAATATCAAGAACCACAGACGTCTGATTGAAAATCTAAATGGTGCAAATTGATGCTATCATTCTGTTTGATACAGAAATAAAGTTTTAAACCTTCTCTACTGTTTACAGCCCCTAAAACTCTCTGATAGTATGATTAGATCATGATATATTTACAGGAGTATTATCATGTTATTTTATCATACAGATTAAAGAAGACCTCACCAACAGCTTACTGTGATTGTTGGGAGAAATGTAAATGTAAAGCATTAATCAGTGGACAGCAGGGAGCTCGATCAACACTACTCAGTCGGTTATTGATAGAAACAGACCTTGTTAAATTACCTAACAGCAAGTATGTATCATTTTCCTCTCACTTTCTTTATACAAACCATTATTAAGGCTTCTGAATTATAATCTTATCTCTGATAATGAGCTTTTGCCGCCAATTTTTTAAAGGCGGTAGCCATCTTGAAATATGAGAAATCGAACTAGCTCACATCTGCAATCGTTGGCGAGTGTACATGCACTACACCTCAAGATAATTTGCCGCCATCAAAAATCCTAAAGGTTAACGCTGCGTTCTAAGTTAGAATTTAATGAATTATGCCTTGTATATTTCAGAGGAGAAAATATTCTGCTATTCCTGGTACAAACTGTTGGTCGTCAGGATACAGAACAGAAACAATTCCGTCATTCTCGTTCAACACGAGTTACTAGCTCTCGTAAACCTCCTATAGCTGACATGGGTAAGTAGAAGGATCTTTGATCTAGCTGTATTTGCCAGTCCTGTCCTGTTAAACTTTCAGACCTCTTTACCAGCTACATGATTATCTTGATTATTTTAAACCAAATAAATATTCAAAATCGTTAATTTACCTCTTGTTTTAGATATAGAGATGCCCGAACACGATCTAGAACCACCAAGATTTGCTCGACGTGCTTTAGAGAGGATCCTCAATGATTGGACGGCCGTGAAAGCTATGATTATGAGTGGGGAGAAAGATACGTCTACTAGGTAAGATTGGATTAGAAGTATTTGCTCTTTCAGTGTTTATCATACAATTAAAAAGTTGTAATGCACGTTAACAGGAGCAGAAAATGACCGTACCAAAACTGTCACCATGTTAACTTGATCTTCTGATTCATATATATGTTTGTGTTGTAATATTACCCCAGAGTCTTGTATTTTCGCCATCTATGGTACATCAATGACTAATCATCAATCGTGGTTTTCAGGAGATTGTCACTGTCTGTAGATTATGATTTTAAAACTATGTTGTGTATTTCAGCCCTGATATAATCTATGAAGATCAGATGTTTCTCCATTATCAGAGTGGAACGGCTAGACTTGATAAATTTACTCACTGTCTACTCGTAAAATGTTATAGCTTTGAGGTAAGAAACCAGTCTCTGGGCAGGTTTTATCTTTAATCTGAGGGAGTTACAGTGGGACAGGAGCTACCCGTCTTGGGCCTATTCTTGACAACTTGACTTCCAATCATCTTGATTGGTCAATCACTAAATTTCTTTTTAAATTTAGCTTTATAGTCCAATCAGATTACTGAATTAAACTTTTCAAAATTTCCCTCATTGCACACTTAAGGATGATGGTGAAGACTCTACATTTTGATAGATTTATGTTTGCTTTAAAAAGTCAAGTTAAAAAATGAAATTTTGTTTTTTAGATGTTGGATACTTTACTGACTACTTTAATACGAGAAATTCAGAATGAGAAAACTCCAGGACGGAAAGCCGAGGCTAAAAAAGTTGCCAGAAGATTTGTACGTTCTGTTGCCAGAGTATTTGTGGTTTTGAACGTAGAGATGACGCCTAGCTCTATCAAAAAACGAAGGTATTAAGATATTTTATATTACAGCTAGCACTAAGTTTCTGTTCCAATTTTGTGTGTAGCATTGAGCAGCAATGACCAGTGTGGCGCCGAGCGTGATATTCTTTCTCTTCCAGACACCTGGTACCACTATTCATTATGAAATACTTACTGAATAATTGATATATTTCCTCATATGCATAAAGTTTATTAGTTTCTGCCATTGTTTCACCAGACTGAGCAAACTGTGCTGAATATTTCAAAATTAAAAACAAAACTGGTTTCATATAGCAATCATAATCAAACTTAACCTGAATCTTTATTACAGTATTGGAACAACAGGTTGTCAACCAATAGCTAAATGTAAACGAGTGTTCCAGGCCTTGGTCCATCTGGCGATTGAGGAACTCAGTGAAATAGCCAACTCTTTGATATTACCTGTAAGAATGGGTGTGGCTAGACCCACGGCGCCGTTCTCTCTTGTTAGCGCCAGTCTGGAGGCTTTTCAGGTACGTTATAACAACAAAAGGCATAACAAAGTAGGTTCAGAATCCTGTCTGCCAGCTTGTCCTTGACCAAATCTCTTGACAATGATTTACAAGGATAACAACTTTGGTTCACAAACTTGTCAAACAACTCGTTCTAGACCAAACTTGATGGTATTTTTGTCCAGATTGAATATTAAGTATTAAAAAGTTTAACATGATTTTATTTGTAGGGAAGTGAAGAGTTGTTTAATGTGGACCCTCTACCACCCAGACCATCGTCAGCTGACTCTACTAGCCAATCAATATCCTTCATTACTAGTCGCCATCCACCAGTCGTAAATATTGACCCTTCACAGAATCAACTGATCAGTTCTCAGACTGATACGGAGGTAAGTAGTTTAATAAATGATACGTTCCCCTCACTGCTAATGTCGTTCAAGTTTTATAAAGGTGTGATATACATATTTTGTGAAAAATTGATAATTTAAATACGTTAAAAAGAACGTTAAGATAAAGCATCTCTCTATCTCTATAATCCCATGCCAATTTTAGGTTGAGGTCGTAGATGGACTTGGTGGAGAAGATGACCAATCAGAGCATCACTCTGACCGAGACAACCAATCAGAGCATCATTCAGATAGAGATAACCAATCAGAACACTCGGATCACGAACCAGAAGCACCAGCCCCGGATCCAGAAGAAGGACCCGCTGAAAGTGATATGGATTTAGATTTGTTGGCAGAGTCTGAGAGTGATAGTGATAGTAGTCATAGCAACCAAGATAATGTCAGTATACAACGTAGTGCTGTTACCGCAGCAACCGCTGGTAGTGACGCAGGTTTGTATTTTTAAATGTCGTAATTTTCTACTCAGGTGTAGTTATCATGGACTCAGCTGAGACTCCATTAAATGTAAAACCTGATGGAAAATTCTTTTGAGTGTAGGTTGGTTGGTTGATGATGAGTTAACGTCTGCATCCAGCAGACGCTGATATCGTAGACTAATTGTCTTATTTTGTATTGTCCTTTTTAGGTCTAGGAAGTTTGGCCCATTTTTCAGAAGATTCAGCGGAATCGTCCAATCAGGAAGATGATTATGAGAGTGATGCCGACGGGAGTGAGGAGCACGATACAGACGAGTTCGTGTATCTCGATGAACAGTTAGAACGTAGATCCAGTCAGCCTCCAGGCTCTCAGGGGCAGAGAACTCTACAAGCTCCACAATCCATGCACTGGGCGTTACGACAACGCGATCCTCCGAGTTCTAGACCTCCCCCTACAACTAATACAACTACCACTACAGGTACAGCAAATCTTGATTTTTTCAACTCACTGGGCTTTCTCACTGGTGATCATCGATTCAATGTGATTGGTTAATTACTCTGAAATTTAAATTCAATCTTAGTCATAGACCAATCAGATGTCTAGAATTATAAACCATACATCAGTTCTGAATTTTTAAGAATACTTTGTAGTTTAATTCTGAAAGAATTTTAGTAAAAAACGAGATTTAGATACCAGGACATTTTGAAATTGATAAACTGTTTTGCTGAATTGATTTATTTTCTGTGTTTTTAGGTGGAAACAGTCTAATTTATATCGACCCCTCCGCTTTAAGACGAACAGCTGCCGTACCTACAGCGGCTCCAACCAATCAAGATAAAGCTGTAACTATGGAAACGACAGCTAGCCAACTGGGACGAGCGTTCGGTATAGTCGTACGACAGATTACAGACTTAATGAACATGCTGCCAAATTACACGTCTCTGGCTCCAAACCTGCCGAGAGTACTGGATGTTCTAGACAATGATATTATGGATTTACAGGTCAGTTTTGGTTTTCCTGGAACAACCTTGACAACACACGAGCAGTTAACTAAGTGTTGAGATAGAGTTAATAGTTACTATGGAAACCAGATTATTTTATTTATTTATTTTTTATTTATAGGTGTATTTAGAATCACATCTTCATCAAACATGGGATTGGTTGATATCAGTATTAGATACGACGGAGGCTCAGCTACGATTCGGTACAGCGTTGAGTAATAATACAGACCCTGCCGCACCCCAGCATCCTCAACATTCTAGTCACATTCGTAATTTACGAGAACGATCTACTCAACCTGAAACACGAGTTTTACAACAGATAACTACTGGACGCAGGACACGATTCGGGGCTTTCGGTAAGATATAATTTTATTTTAATTAGACATGCCTGCCATCCATTTGATCAATTGTAACTTCGTGTCAGAAACAGGAATGTTGCCAATCAGTAATAGTGTTCACAGCTCACTGTCGAAATTGAAGCCTTCAAATCCAAGTGTGTCCAGAATTATCTGCGTAAAAGTTAATGTGACGAGTTGTGTTTTCTTAAGACTGTGATATTTATTTATTTATTTTATTTTGCAGGGTCTGATGGGAATTCTGCGAGAAGAGATTTCCTGACGTATGCCCTGTCGTTAATGAGAGCTCATAGTTCGGAACATTCAGACAGTTTACCAATCATCGACATTGCGGCCATGAAACACGTAGCCTATGTCTTCGATGCCCTGATCTACTACATGAGAAGTGGACAAGATTCCGACCTGGATTCTGTCCGTGATGGAATTTCCGTGACGTCCTGGCAAGATCATGAGGAAAATGAAACGGAGGACCATGACGATGATGCCATCACTAACAGTGTTGCCATGGATACAGACAGCATGGATGGTGATGAAAATTTGACCAAATTAGGTCGTAAACATCCATTTTTCCAGAGATCTGATTCTACAACGTTCTTGGGGTGTCCACCTCCAGATCCATTCCATACGCCTTTGGTAGAAGCCCTGCCATTGGCTGATCAGCCTCAATTGCTCCAATCAAATTCAAGAAGAGAAGATTTGTTTGGAATGGGCAGACAATCGTTTGTAACTAAGCAATCTGGTGAAACAGTCCACGGAACAAATCCATTGGATAAATTGTCCAACATTTCCTTGGCTACCAGAGCTGCCAGATTATTCTCGGCTGGATGTGTGAGTTCCACACAGACACCTTCCAGTATCCTAGCAACAGTACCAACATCCAGTGCTACGTTTACAATTGGTGGTGGAGCTTTAACAACACCTTCTCTCGGAACTGCTTCGTTAGGGACAGCCAGATTGGTTAGCAGCCAAAACACCAATCAGACGCCAATATTTAATATACCCACGACAGCAAGGGATATCCCTCCACCACCTGCTGAAACAGGAAGTGTGATTGTGGGACTTCAAATTCCATTACCTCCCTTACCTCCACCTCCTCCCCAACCAACAGACTTGTCAGTCAGCAGTACACCAGTCTCGATCAGTCAGATTCCACTACCAAACGAAGTTCCCGTTACCGTCGTCAGCAGTAGTGAAGCACAGGCACAACCTGTAGTTACCATGGCAACACCTACATTGCCGCCAATTCTGGCTGCTGCCCAGCCAATTCTTATAACACAGCCTATAGTCAGTTCCAGCATTCAAGTGGTTTCCGAGTCTTCATCATCGTTAGCCCCACTGCCATTGATATCCAGACTAGGACCAATTCTGGCACCAGGAGGCGCTAACATTCTGGATCTCTTCTCACCCACAAGAATTCAGCCTCCAGCGTTACTTCCTGTTGTACCGAGCTTGTCTTCAACATCAACCCTAACAACAGTTCCGCGTCCTATAGCTCCCAGTGTTATAGTCCACGTCAGTTCTGCCACCTCAACTCCCAGCCATTCAGCTACCAGTGAAGCTGAAGAGAACCAATCAGAATCAAGCATGGATACTTCAACCAATCAGATGCCTGCTAGTGGATCAACAGATAAAACAGCTTCGTCAACTGCAAGGTTCGTTGTTTCTTACTTTTCTTACTTTCCATTCTGTTCATTAAGCTCTACTTTTTGCATGGATGATTAAAATATGATAATTATTTTTTTTGTTTGTAGCGAGACCCCAGCTTCCACCATAGTGAGTTCAGATGATATGGTAGGAGCCAATGAAAACGTCTCTAATACAGTTGTCATAGAAACATCACAACAAGCCTCGAATACAGTTGTTCGGTAAGTTTTTTTTCTTATCTAGTTCTCATTCTAATGAAGCTTGCTAGCTTTGCTAGTCTGAACGTTCAGGGTTTAATCCCAGCTTTGGTCGAGATAATACCTTCAGATTTTTAGGTGCAGAAGAGCAAGACGTAAAACTCAATTCATTTCATTTTTCACTCTATGTTTCAGACCAGCAGCTCTGATAGGTCAAATGATACCACATGACATCTTGCTAGGAAGATGGCGATTGGCTCTAGATTTATTTGGACGTGTTTTCTGCGATGACGTGGGCTCGGAACCAGGCTCCGTGATCAGTGAACTGGGAGGATTTCCTGTCAAAGAAAGTAGATTTAGACGGGAAATGGAGAAGTTGAGAAATTCTCAACAGAGAGATTTAACTTTGGAGGTGAGGGCATTAGCAATAGGTTCCCTGGTCCTACAGGCTGTACATGTCCTGGTAAAATTTCCCTCATTACACACTGCATGGTGTTGTTCGTCACGTAAAACTCCATTTATTTCATTTTCCTTTTCATTTCATTAGCAATAGGTGAAAGTTTTGAGGGCATCAGTCATTAGTGAAAGTCTTTAGGTGGGTTAGCAAACATAATGTCTAATGAACAAGATTTGTATTGTTGTATTTTGTTTTATTGAAGGTGGAAAGAGAACGGAATAGCCTGTTGACGACTACGTTTAAACAACTCAATACCCAGTATACTAAACGTACTAGTACAGGCGGACCTCCACTAGCTGTCCATAGAGTAAAAGTTACGTTTAAAGATGAACCTGGTGAGGGAAGTGGGGTAGCTCGTAGTTTCTTTACAGCTGTTGCTAACGTAAGAATACTTTCTTATCTTTTTCTTCAGGTTTTTGAACTTTCGTACCATGTTCTTAAGATTAGAATTTATCCCTTTCTCGTTTAAAAATATACTGAATTGTTTGTTTATGATATTTTGGGTATCTTTGCAGGCTCTGTTGTCAGGTGAAAAGTTACCTCCATTAGATGGTGTGATGTTTGGCGGCAAGAGTATACAGTACAGTAAGTATATCTAACTCTTAAAGGCGTATTTTTGAAAGGATTATGTGATTTTCGTGCAGTTTTAGTACTTTGTACGACTTTACATAAATTCAAGACCCAAAACAACCCCTGATAATTTATATTTTAGGTTTGATGCAGAGGCTAAGATTGAGAGAAAGAGAGAGAGAAAAGATTCGAACACATCTACAGAGACAGAGAAGTCGCGACAGAGAACCTCGTCGAACTCTATCATATGACGCTCCTCCATTTTATATGCCGTCAGATACAGGAAGTGGGAGTGGCTCATCTAATAACGCGGCCAGTACGACAGCGGAACCACCGACAGAGTCTAGTGATAGATGGCAGATAGGAGAACAGCTTTACCCTAAAGTTAGAAACTTACAGCCGGTGAGTTGAATTTGTTTCATGGTGACTTCACACTATAGTGATCACGGGTTGCTAGTAAGAATAGCTGCCATTAGTTTGCGAACGCAACTCTCATGCTACTGAATTGTCATCCCTTGCTTGTTAATTTACATTATATGTAGAGACGTTAAATCAAGAATTTCAGTTTGCTAAAATGTGTGAACAAAATACACTTTTTGAAGTTTGTATTTTGAAATCATTTCAGACAATGGCGCCAAAGATAACTGGTATGTTATTAGAGTTGTCTCCCCCTCAATTATTATTATTGTTAACATCAGAGGAGTTGCTACGACAACGTGTTGACGAGGCAGTCGATATCATTTTATCAAGACGGTAAGTTAGAACTTACTGATTTCATTATATTTGACACCCCTCAACTTTTAAGTGAATTGTCCTCACGTGCATACTTTCAATGAATATGAAACTGTATTAAGAATGATTAGAAGAGCTCATTGTAAAATTGGGGGTGTTTTTTCATTGCCAGTCAATTGATAGCAGAGTCTTGATTTTGAATTGATATTGAATTTGATTTAATTTTAACAGAGAGATGAGTGCTGAATCATTGTTAGATCTGGATATATTTAATTTGTCGTCTGATAAAAAGAAGACAGGAAGTACGTCTGATAGGAAGAGTGATTTAGATGAAGAAGAAGAAGTGGATGATAGTACAGCGTTATTCTGGCAGCCTGGTAAACGTGGCTACTATTCTCCACGCCCTGGTAAAAATACCACAGAGAGACTCAACGCTTTCAGAAACGTTGGCCGGTAAGTTGATTATCTAGCTAGGTTGTTATTGTCATTTAGTGTGTCTGCAATGTTTTCCCTCAATTTGGCAATTTTGCTTTCACTTGTTCTTTCCCCAGGGTTTGTGAGACCATGCTAATGTCGCAATATTTTTTGAGGAACAGTGGCATACAAATTTCATAATCAACCATTTTTTGAATCATCATGTCGATCTACTTTCAGAATTATCGGACTGTGTCTGCTGCAGAATGAGATCTGTCCTTTGTTTTTAAACAGACATGTATTGAAATATATACTGGGACGTAAAATAGCCTGGCACGATCTCGCTTTCTTTAACTCCGTAACTTACGAAAGTTTACGAACTCTGGTAGAAGATGCGGAGACTAAAGATTCATCTCTGATTTTCTCGGCGTTAGATTTGATATTCTGTGTTGAACTCTGTCCTGAAGAGGTATGTGACAGTTGAATTTATTATCCAGTTTGTTAGGAAGATCTTTTCTACCAGCTGGTCCTTGACCAAACCTCTTCGTAGTAATCTTTCCTGGATTATCTGTAGGCTACTTGGTGGAGTTAGGGTATATTTTTTTAAGTGTATCTGAATCATTATTTGTAGGGTGGAGGACAAGTTGAACTGGTACCAGGGGGAACTGATATTGAAATCAATGCCTCCAATATCTACGAATATTTACGTAAATATGCTGAATACAGAATGGTGAAAGTTGCTGAGAAGGCTCTGAAGGTGGGTTTACTTTATACACTGCTAGTTGTATCCGGAAGGCAACAGTCTTCATTGTAAACAATCCATTGTCTTGAAGGTTACAGGATGTTCCCAATATTTATAAGTATTTTACTTCTACTACCGATTTTATCATTACTTTGGACGAAATTTTGATTGACTTGCTTGTATATTTATTATTTAGCAGTTTATATGAAACTCTTTTTTTGAAACTCTAATATTACATTGTTTCTATATTACAGAGTATTAAGACTGGGGTGTTCGATGTTTTACCGTCCAATGCTCTAGAGGGACTAACATCTGAGGATTTACGATTGTTATTAAACGGTGTTGGGAATATTAACGTTCAAACTCTCATCAGTTATACCTCCTTTAATGATGAAAGTGGTAAGTATTTTACTAGTCTATAAACCAGGTGTCAGCCATATTATAATGAGACAAACATCCAGAGATGCTTTTTATTTTGAGGTATTTCAAGTAAGGGAATGCTAAACTGATTGTCATACACAGGTTGCCGCCTTTCACATATGAGCATGTTTTGCATTTTGTTTGCATCCTAAAGACTGCTCGTGTCTCACTTGTGTTGTTTTATCTAATGCAAGTATTAAATGATCTTGTTTTATTTTTGTAGGAGAGAGTAGTGAACGAGTTCACAGGTTTAAACGATGGTTTTGGTCAGTTGTAGAGAAAATGAACAATAGAGAAAGACAAGATATGGTGAGCTGTTATATTATTTTAGTATCAGTTGGTATAGTTTAATCATATAACAGGCTATCTGTGATCACATAGCTGAAGTGTCCAATCGTTTCTCATGGTATAATAGCTCAGTTTAATTAAACTTAGACCAAACTTCTGAAAGTTTCTTTTTGGTTTAGCTTTTATTTTTAATATAGCCACTTCATTTAGGGTCTAAAGATGGCCTTCATGATCAGTCGTTGGTTTGATGACACCGGCAGCCAGTCAAATTTCTTCCCTCTCTTATGCTGGATTTTTTTTGATTAAAGGTGTATTTCTGGACATCCAGCCCAGCGTTACCAGCCAGTGAAGAAGGTTTCCAGCCGATGCCCAGTATAACCATTAGACCAGCTGATAACGACCACCTTCCTACGGCTAATACCTGTATTTCACGACTTTATATTCCTCTCTATTCCTCCAAAACTATTCTACGTACTAAACTATTGTTGGCCATCAAGACTAAAGCTTTTGGATTTGTGTGAAGAATTTTGACCATCATTTTGTGAAGATGAGCTTGTGACTTTGTGTGAATTCCATGGATTTAATAATGAGTTATTAATGAAAATATATGAACAAAAACTTGATATATATTTGGATTTTGTGATGTCAGAAAGGAGACAAAATATACAGATATTGGAACTTTTCCCAACTTATGAATTTTGTTACAAGCTGTGGTATTAAGAACTTTATGGATTTCATTAGATACAGTACTTGAAAAAACCAAAGTTTTAGGAATGTTTATGTTACGAACGGAAAGGATTTGGATCTGTTATAAAGTCACGAACTTTGGGGATTTTTTAAACATAATCAGATTAATCAAAGATTTGGATTTGTGAAATTCAGTCATAATTTAGTTGCCATAAAATACTTTATTTGACAAACTTGTCATGGTGTAAGTTGGTGTATAGACGTTGTTAATAAGGATTATTATTTTTGAAACATGGGCCATGGTCATTCTGGACATTGGCCTGAAGAATTTAAAGCTTAAGATTTTATAACGGCTTAAACAAACACCCCTAGATTTATGGAATGGACTTTTCCTTATCATCAGAAGATGTGACAGGATGCACATGAGTGGAAGGGTTCATGAGAAGTCTAGGGGTGTTGGTAAAGGTACACAGCAAGTTTTTGCTTTCTGAACTATGTAATCTAATTTCAATTTGGAGATTTATGTAAATATTGGAGGGCACAATGAAATTTTCACCATAGTCTGTGTCACTAGCGAATGAATTTGAAAAGTGAGGTGTATTTTATGACATGTTTTCTTGTCAAGAGCCACAAGATTCCTTATCTTGGGGATTTGGGAATAACTTGACAAGTTTTAGACAAGCTCTTTCCACTGAAAAAAATATTAAAGGAGAAAACAAGGCTTGAACTTTTATTAGTCTATCAAACTATACTTTTGTTTGAATCGCTACCTTGAATACTACTCTGGGACCTTATTCTCGAAAACTTAAAGATGAAATTCAGATTTTTAAAAATAAAGTAATCTGATTGGATAATAAAGCTAAATTTAAAATCAATTTTATTGATTGACCAATCAGATGACTGGAATAATAAACCCTTTTTAAATTAAGTTTTTGAAAATATAAGACCCCTTATTTGGAATTTATCAATAAGGCGAAGTGGGTCACAATATTTCTGACTAATCAATCAAATTATTTGTCTGATTTTGTATTACAACTTTCTAGATAAAGTCGCCTACATTCTGTTTATTCTTTGTTTTATGTGTCTATCTATTGTACAGTCTTCAATATGAATAAATTCTTTCAGAATATTCCATTGTGTTATTTGTCAGTCCAAATCCATAATGGCAAGCTCAGTTGATGCTAAGGTTTTTTTTCAAAAGTTTTGGCCTAGTTGTCCTAATTCCGCAGTGACACTCAGTTGAATTTGCTTCCAGTTTGCAGATCAATTGCACTTTTCGTAGCGAATAAATATCTGGAAAAAAGGAATTAAATTCAGATGATGTCATATCTTGTGGGTTCTTGACATTCATCAATACATTCCCTTGCAACTTTACTAACTAAACATTGCCAGGTCTATCAGTATCAGTTGGAGTAAGACTATTGTTCTAGTGTAGAACTTCCTCATGTTAAGTCATATTTATCCTTCCCAATGCACTGAAATCTCTCACTGAAGCAAAGGAGACATACTTTAACATATTCTTTAGACAATTAACACAAAAATTGATAAAGAAAAGACTTTAATTCACGTATTTTTACATTTTTAATGAATGTAAACAATGAAGCCGCCATGTTTGTTTACGTTTTGGTTTAGCACTTCCATCGCCTCTCAACTTTGACCTCAGAGTTTAGGCTGAAAAAAGACACAGCGACCGTTCAAAACTGTGTTTAGACCTCGTAGAATCTTGCATGAATTTAATCAAATCCTGGAATTGACATGACAATGGTTTGATTCAGCCCTATCCTCTTTAAACTGATGTACGGTTGAAACTTCTGACAAAAATCCGCCATTTTGATTTTATTACTCTATTTGATTTGTTTGATATTCGAGACTAAAGTACAAGAACAATATTGTAGCTTATTGGACAAACTAGTCTACGACCTAACGTCATTCACGGTCTAAGGGAGACAACTCCATTGAATGATGTCAAAAATCGACTGTTAGAATTTTAATGGAACTAAGCGTTCGAGACAGAGGCGCATGCGCATGTACGGAATTTAACGAGTGATGCCGCATAATTACAATCGGCTCTTCAAGTAATTTCCATAAACCTAAACCGGAAACACGTGACATATTTGATTAACCAGACTCAAACTTCTGTTGACGATTACGACTTTTAGTTCGAGAAAGTTGAATGTAAACAAACATGGCCGACTTTGAACACTTTTTTCAGAAATATTTTGAATTTTTGGCTGTAAAAGCGAATACACGGAGAAATCTTTCACTTATAACGTTCTGCAAGTTGAATAACTGCCATGGCAAGATTATCGTGTACTGCCATGCTTGATGACTGGAGGATAAACATTCTACGCCCATTATAATGTCTAGAAATTGCACTTGAAAAAAGTTGAGGATTTTGACTTCATTGACTATTCTCTGGTAAAATCTATAGTGAGTTGGATTGTCGTCTGCAAGGCGTTAAGGTTCTGTGAGTTTGAATCATATGCAAGGTAAAAAGATAATGCCATGACATGACCAGCTAAAGAACCACTTATTGAACGGCATTAACGTAAGTTAAGTTCACAAAAACATTGTCCCTCGCTTATGAATGAATATATTTGTATAACTTTTGGACAGGATATTCCACATATATTTCAGGACAAATTAAAACAATCAATAATTTTGGATTGTATACAAAACTGAAGCAAAAATTATTTCTGTAGTGTTTGATTTTGTATGAATACACTTCAAGCCATTTCTATATTTGCATTGTATTATCTTTGATGCCTATTATAAGAGTATTGTTTGATCTTATTTAAGATTTTAATGTTTGAAATTTTGATTTCTTCCAGGGTATTGGGAAATATGAAGAGCCTGTAAATTCAACTTTAGTCAGGTAACAATTTTATTTTCCTGAAATATTTCTGTTTTTCCAGGTTTTTGTGAGATTGACAAACATAAAACGTTTTACAAATCTATTTTATGTAGAGAAATAAGAAAGTTATAGTTGATTTAGAATTATACGCGTCACAATATTGTGTATAGCCATTTTGAGAAAATGAGTATAAAAGTAAAAACGTTCTCACTCGCTTCTGAATGAATATATTTGTATAATTTTTGAACAGGATATTCCAGATACATTGCAATGCAAATTGAAACAATGAAATAATTTTATCTGTATTTCTTCAGTGTTTAATTTTGCACGATTGTACTTCAAGTTATCCTATACATAATAGTCTTAATGTTTGAAATTGTAATTTCTTTCAGATTTTTTGAGTTGATTTCAACCACATCCCTACGGCATCCAGGTCAGCGTTACCAGCCAGTGGAAAGACCTTTAGCCAAGCCAAGTATAACTAGACGAGCTGATAACGGCTACCTTCCTACAGCTAATACCTGTATTTCACGACTTTATATTCCACTCTATTCCTCCAAAACTATTTAGATAAACTATACAAATGATTTAGATTTTTTTGGTTGTTAATATCGTGGTTTTCAATATTGTAATATCTATTGATATTATATCTAGGTGTACAAGGCTATATTTTCTGTATTTATTTATTGTATGTTCATAAATTTTGAATCTGTTTCTGTGATTTGGACTGACAATTTTTTGATATAAATCTTGTTTGGGTTCTTTATTATTGCTTTTGTGCTTTTGTGTTTATCATTACAGTCAACTGATATAGCTCTAGATATTTTGTTTCCTTTCTTTCCTGTGGGTAACAGCACTGATTGTAATTAAAATACAGAGCTAGGAATTAATGAAACAATATTATGAGTTGTATTTTATTCAGTTATTAATTATTTAGTCTTGGTATTTTTATTTTAAATCCACAATATCTCTGACTAATCAATCAAATTATTTGTAAGATTTTGTATTACAACTTTCTAGATAAAGTCACCTTCATTCTGTTTATTCTTTGTTGTATGTGTCTATCTATTGTACAGTCTTCAATATGAATAAATTATATTAGAATAGTCCATTGTTTTATATCTTTTAATGTGTTATTTGTCAGTCCAAATCCATAACGGCGAGCCCAGTTATTGCATGGATATGAGGGCAGCTGGAATTGATATCTATTTAAAAAATTTCAACTGGAATCGCGATAATATAGATCAGCAGAAACTCCTTTATTGTGGTCTGAAATTACAGCAAGTTATTTATTTCCCTTTAATCATTGGTGCTAAAGATTAAAATGCATGTGCAGGCTTATATTTTGATCAATTTTAAAGGAAACATCACACTAGGAAATAGTGGAAGATTGAAAATAGGCTTGATACAGTAAATTGAGCCTGTGCTTCAGAAATTTGACAAATCTATCATTAAGTTTGGCTCCCTGCCAAAAATTAGTGAACCTTGACCTAGATGTCAGAGGTCAACATCACCTGTTTACTATATTGAAGAGTTGTTTTGATAGGACAATATTCAACTTGTTTCTTCAAGCTAAATAAACTAAATAAATCTTTCTTGTGTCTTTTCTCTCTCTATCCAACCCTCTAATATTGACTTTGTCTTTTAAAAGGCTCATTTTTAAATGGAAATTAAGAAGCATAATTTTGACCAATCAGAAAACAGAGGTCAAATTACAACTGGACAGAGATCAGCCTCTCTTTCACTAGGGTTGTTTCATATTTCTAGTTCACAGGGCTATTTTCAAGTGCTGTAGTGTAATTCTTACACCTATAGCACTGGAATTTAGTCCAATAATGTGTCTTTACATAGAAATACAGAAAATAACCTCAAAACATGCAAAAAATGCATACTTTAGCAGAAATTGCTGAAAAACCAAAATTAAACATAGCTATCCCCCCTTGCCAAAATCCAGTGGAAAACCCCGTGTCCTACTTACTT